TTTATTGAATAAAAATTCTATTTATTCATAATTACTTTATATGTGTTTATTCCCCACTCTATAAATATTATATGAAGTGTAAAATTAATGTAAAAAAAATAATGATAAAAATACTGCTATTCTTGCTTTGATGTCTCAGATCAATTGTTACATCTAAAGGTTTATTCTATAGATCACAATTTTTGCTTTAATACATCTCAGATTGTGATTGTATCACTGTTACAAAATAAGACTTATTTCATATAAATAATAACAATTAAATCATAAATAATAGTGGATGAGTTGACAATCTTCAGTAATAATTATATTGGTTATTTACAAAATTAAAATGTTTTTTAAACTTAATTTAAAATTGTTTTTTTATATTTATTATATTAGATAGGGACAAAGCTGAAAATTAGATAATTGCACTTTCTTTTTGTAAAAATCTTTTTATATTTTATTGCAAAATTCCAATTTTGGCACACATTTTTTTTTTATGCATTTATTATATTTTATTTTAGGTTTTTTCTTCATCAAAACCTTATTGCATTAAATTCTGAGTTTATTTATGAAGACAAATCACCACTATTAGGTAACAAACGTGAAAGATCACACAATTAGAATTAATTACTTCTATTAATTTACCATAATCATTATTATAAAATAAAATTTTATTTAACACAAATCTTGGACTCAATGAAGTAAAAAGGATTTCAGATAAATGTTATCCATAATGTGAGAGTTAAAACTAAAATATAAGTTCTTCTTTGGTTTCATGAAAAGAGTTTTGTTTTCATACTTTTATATAGTACTGTTCTACAATGTAAATTTCATTAAAATAATTAACATAATTAGAAAAGGTGTCGTGATGAAGTGACATGAAGAGCTGTAGCAACCAAGACCTTGGTACATGATTCCATATTTTGTCATGTCTGGATATTTGCAGCTAGAACCTGAAATTTAAAAATAAGTAAATAAAAATAAAGTTAATCATTATTGCTCGTCCATAAGAATACTGCACCAAAGGAGAACACACGTGACACTGAATTGAAACTAACATTCCTTACCAAATGCTTTGAAAGTTCAATTATAAAATTTATATTTTAGGTGAAATGAAAACAAACATTTCAATTATAGTTCAATCATTCATCAGGTCAATTAATATGTGGAAAGGTAACATGTTTTCTGTTATATCGTTGTGAGCAAGCTAAATTATCTCCATTTATTTCTTTCATTATTCAATATAAAAAATATATATAAACAATTTAGTCCAGGTAAACTATTTATTTAAGTTCTATTTCTTTTTTTAAATATCATTAAATTTTCAAAAATTAGTACATCCTACTAAAATTTGTTATCATTTTGCTATTACTACTATTCACCACTATGAACCACTACCACTTGTTGATTCATAGGCTGCCAGTTTTCTCTTTTGCCTTGGGAAAGCATTTTTTTTTTTTTTTTTTTGGGTCAACATTTTGAATGGTTTGTAAGTGCTAGTCGGATTATTGTTTCGGATATACTTTATTATATAATATACTTGTGTAATGCAATGCTTCATAGGTGTTTTGCAGAAAAACATAAGTGTAGTTTTCTGAGAGCATGCTTCTCTGGATTTCTTCTTCTTTTAATTAATCTGGTATCCTGAATAAATGAAAGATTGTACATTTTTAAATCTATACTGCTGTATGACTTTCATCACCTTCACTGGTAATTAGTTGCAGACTCCTCCAATGGCTGAAAAGCTTCCCTCACATTGTTTAGTCTATCCAGTCTCACCGGTTTATAACAAAAGAAAAAAGAAAAATTTTGAAAATTACCCCATAATAAATTCACTGGTTTTTAAATCTGAGCACAGAAGTTAATCGTAAGTGTTAGTTTGTTAAAACATACTAAAATATTTAAATGATACCAGGGAGAGGGGTAGATATCTTAAGATACTGAGTAAATCCAGGAGAATACTTTCTTTATAACTTACAATTGCAATTTAAACTAACTGTGTCAATTTTTTCAATGTTTATATTACTATTGTATTTTCTATTTCTGAATTAGAATTTCCTACTCTCAATGCAACTATTGTTTTATATTACAATTATTTATATATACAATTAAATTATTACGTTAAGAAATGATAACGGTCTTCACATGTTGTATTTGTATATTATTTAGGTGTATTTATACAGTTTTTAGCATTTGCATACTAGACATTTTATTTGGACAGATCTAGTAGCTCTCTTTTTTGCTTAGTGGTATATAATTGTATATTAATACTGTTTTACTATTGTGTTAAGTGTTTTGTTTATAGTTCTATTTATTTTGTAAATAACATGTTCACTTAATGTTTTCATTACTTTTTTTAATATTATTCTATTTATTTTTTTTTTAATATTGTTTTATATCTGAGGCCAGAAGTAATCTCTTATTTTTGTACAATGTTGTCATTCTCAAGGGACTTTGTCCCAAAGAAGAAGTTATTTTCTATCAATTTATCTATTGTATCAAGTATAAAATTAGTGTGGACATTAAGATTTCTTTTCCATTGTAATCATAGATTCCGATTTTGCCCAGCTCTGGTTTATTGCAAAAGGTCAATAAGTACACTTTTGATGGAACTTTTAAGTAAGTTTTTGTGAATTTCGATCTTATTTATTGAAAAATATAAAACAAACACAGTAGTGCGTTAAAATGACAAAAAAACTCTTTTATATACTATGAAATGAGCCTTTCATTTGACTGAATGACTAACTCCTAATTTGTTTATATTATCCAACCAAATGTCTTTTAATTCCAATCAAATGTTTTTAAAACCAATAATATCTTTAATAAACAGAATTTTATGTTGTTACCTCAGCTCAGTTTGAGTAGAGAAACACTTAGAAATGCATCTAAAATCATGACCACAAAAAACTCAGTAAAATAAATTTAATATAGTGATAGAGATCCTTCGCATTCATTCAGTATTGTCCGTATAAAAAATGCAATTGAGACGTTAAAAATTATGGATGAAGATTCATTATCAGATGAACATGTATTTTTTTGTTTTTGTTTATATTACAAACATAACATATATTTACAATTTTGGATTTCATAATTTTAATTCAAACAAATATTATATGTATTGTTAGCCGGAAACAGAAGAAAGCCATGGATTTCAAGAGGTGGTTTCATGGTTATTTACATAAATGTTTAGAAATATATGCTTCCACTTTTAAAAATACAGTCCTCTTCTGAGAATCTTGTACTGGCCAAAAAAGAAATAAAAAAGCAACATCTTAATGTTTTATTTATTTAATTAATTAAACTTATTTAATATGACTGATGTAAGTTGTGAAACTATTGACATAAAATTTCTTTTATCTGGACACAGCTTTTTACCAAATGATGCATACTTAGGCATAATAAAGTTTAAAGACCATAAAACTGAAATTATTTATTCATAATTCATAAATTATTTAATGAGTTCACAGTTAACTTAATTAATATACTGATTCTTCATCACAAAAAATTAGATGTCATAGCAAACAGGAAAATGAGTGAAAAAGGAGATAACATAAATTGGCTTAAAATCAGATGGATAAGGTCAAACAAAATCAATCCATTCAAAATATTTATAAAATATTCTTCTGATGTAAATGAATTCATCGAAATCGGTGCACGCATCACATAACTTTCACTTACCACCCTCTCCTTACAGAAATAAGTATTTTCAGACAAAGGGTAGACAAGTATTTTCAAGACAAAGCCCTGTTCGAGAACATCAATGAGAATAAAACCTACATAATATTGAAAACTACTTAATTTTAGACTGATATAATGAATTTAATCAGACTTGTAGGAGCAGTTTTCGAGAAAATAGTAAAAATGTGTTACATCGATGACATAATGATGCCACTTCTGTTTAGCCAATTTTGACGAAAAAATTGTAACATCCCAGGTATATGCAAACCTTAAATATGCAATTTCTCTTTCATACGACTTTTCGTTTATGAGCTTAGACCTGTCACATACATACAGACACGCACACACAGATCATTTTGCGGGACTTGGTTATTTGGACTCAGGAGACCTCCAAACATGTATTTGTTAAAACTCAAGATTCGAAAATTTTCATGATCGCAATACTGTCCCTTACTATATTTTTCATATATAGGTAAATAAAAGTAAAATATACATGTTAGATTTGCTTACAATATATTCCATAAATAATATCATACAATAAAAAAAAGGGGATCAAGTGAAGTTGAAGAAAATTATGTTATTTTGTATTGAACATAATGTAAAAAATATTGTATTTTTCATTTAAATAATCATTTATGTTTAGTATACTTATTTTTTAAAACCCGCACACCCGGAATTATTTCTTGTGCTAAACAAAACATTGTTTCAGCTTTCAGTTGATAAAGTGACTAACTGCATAAAATTACTGTATTTATTTTTTCAATATTGATTTTATAACTACTCAGCATTGAATAAATGGTTATATTTATAAAACAATCAACTATTATATTTTAATATTTCTGCCATACTTTTGCAAAAGAAATAGGTAAGAATTTTCCAATGAAAGTGTCAAAACTTTCATTTCAAGTCCAATTAATTACAGTTACAACAGCTTAATTATATCGTTTCACAAATGGAAAATTCATCGAAGTTCATTCAAATGATTTAATGTTATCTAATGACTCTTTGCATAAAATCAATGGTCTGAATAATTCTTTATTAAGCCAATTTCAAAAGTTAAATTACAACTATGTTAAGAAATGAGGAAGAACAAATCCTTAGACGAACTATAACCTTGTCAAACCAAGGTGACTGAAGGGAACGACTATACCTTCTAGATCATCCAAAGATTGATTACATTATCTTAAGATCCTCTGTTCCAAGCAATAGTCTCTTTCCTAATTATATTTTTTTCCAATTTAAATTGTTTATTTGAAAATAATTTTTTAATAAAGGGGTGAAATGGTCGTAAGCACATATAGTATAAACAGGACTATCAGGAGAAAAATGAACTAAAATGCTGATTGAGAAATAAATTACATAATATATTTTATTTTATGTCATATATCATGACCTCTATTACATAAACAGAACATCGGCAGGACGTTCCCTAGATAGATATATAAATTCACCTTTGTCACAAAATAAATACAAAAATTTCACTTATTTTTTATATCTTCCGCAGTAATAATAATTTACCACAAACTAATTTTTATTATTTACACACTTATTTATATATATATTTATATAAATTCACTTTAACATTAGCGCTCTATACAAAATAAACACAACAAAATGTTCTATAGGAATGGAATTTTGCTAAAAATAAATTTATTTTTAACAATAAAAAACTTAGGAATTTAGATAAAATATTTAAATATACAAAAACAACTACACGGGATGATTATTTACACATTATAAAACAATTACAATAAAGAACTAAAAAAAATTATAAAAACATAAAATAAAATAAAAAAATATCAACATTGAAAATTGTAAATGTAAAATTACCTAGAGTATTTAGCAATAATGTACAGATCTGCCATAAAAATATCAGAGGCAGAACAATCTATCGTGTAATTGCACATGTAAAATACATTAAACAAATAATTTAAAACAAATAATTTATAATAAAATCGATAAAAATGAATAAACATTTTATTATTAAAATTCACTCCTTTATGAAACATTTTCGTATGTACATTTATCAGTTTTTTTTTTCCTTCTAATTATGTTTGTGTTTTTTTCTTTTTTCATATTTTAAATGAGACGAGGTTGGAAATTTTCCGATCTATTTTTCATCAAGATCAAAACTGACATTCCATTGGATTAGAAATTTAGGAATGAGATCACGAACTTTACTTCAAATCATTCAAACAAAAACGACGATCTGTTGTAAACAACTCCCTGACGCTATGAATCGAGATTGTCCTCCCTTTGACTGGAGAAGTACGACACTAGGCCACTGAAGACGCCCTCTTCGTCGCCTCCGGGCACATTGGGGTCAATCTGCTCTTCATAGCCGCTGCCTACAACGTAGTCCTCTCCCGCGTAGAAGGCGCCGCCCGGATAGAACTGGTGGTGGGAGGCAGGCGGGGGCTGGTAGAGGTACCTCTGCTGCTCGGGGAAGCGCTGCCTGAACGGCTGCCTCCCGGGAGCCTGCATCGGCTGGGGCCTGTAGTAACCGCCCCCTCCCAGCATCCCTCTAATCACGCTCTCCTCAGGGGGCCTTCTTTTGTTCGGGTCGAGGAGCTTGGCCGACGGTACCAGCCTGATGGCAGGCGTGGGCTCTTTCTTTTCCTCCTTCTTCTCTTCCTTGATGACGGGGGTGGGGATGGCTGTAGCCGCCGGTGGCTGAGGAGTAGGGTTCGAGTTAGCAGCACTAAGCGTAGGTGCCATAGGGACCTTGATAATGGATACCCCACTACCTATTTTTATTGGAGGTTGTATGATTCCTTTCGGCTCTTCGACTTTTTCCCTAACCAAATTCTTTACTTCCTCAATTTGACTGTCGTCTTCATCATCTTCTTCCTCCTCCTCCTCCTCTTCTTCAACTTCTTCCTCAACTTCTTCTTCTATTTCCTCTTCTTCAACTTGATCATCGTCTTCATCATCCTCCACAGCTTTTTCTGCTTCTTGTACTGGTAATGGTACTGGTTCTTTAACTTCTTCTTTATTTTGAGTTTCAGGTACTGGAACTGAAACAAAACAAAAACTTAAAATATCACAACTACTTTCCTTTTTTTTATATATATATTTATATATTATAAATATTATTTTTTTTTTATCAATAAGAAAAATATACCAAAAAATGACTAAATAATAAAAAATAAAAATAAATGGTAGGATACTTTCTATCTGCTTAACAATTTTTTAAAATAAACTGTTTAAAAATAATGTATATGGGGATAAAAAACTGGTTTAAAATACTATAAATAATTGTCCAAGATTTTTTTTAGTATTTTTCATAACTCTAAATAAAATAATGTTTTTTGGGTTTCTCAAGTGTTCTGTGTTAAAGCCCATGATTTAATTGTTTAAATAATAAGAAAAATGAATAGGAAAAAGTGATAATTTCATTTTATTTTATTCAACTTAATTGATTTACATAATTACTCAATTATTTCTTGAGGAAAATTGTCCCGATTGTATGAAGATGATCAACAAAAACTCGGAACATTCAAATTTTAAATCCATTGCTGGCCATTAAAATTATATTAGATCCATTCTTATCATCATCTATGCAGCTCTTCAGCCCGTGGCGGGCCTTGGCTTCCTCGATTGTAGTAGCATGCCAATAACCTCTATTCTTCCTTTCAGTTCCTCACACCTAGTGTTTTAAGGTAAAACCTTGCAGCCATCTTTTCCTTGGTCTTCCTTTTCTTCTTGTGCCATACAATATAGAAAACAATGCCTTAGCACCCTGCTGTTGTCCATTCTAACCACTTGGCCTAACCATTCTAAGCACCAATTTTTGTCGAAATGAATTATGTTGCCGATATTATATAGTTCATATAGCTCCGAATTTGTTAAATGTCTCCACACAACCTCTTCACAAACAGCTCCATAAATTCATCTCAATATTTTTCTTTCAAAAATATTCAGCACACTAATTGTGCTAATACAAAGGGTCCATGTCTACGCTGCATAAGTCACAATAGGTCTTACTAAAGTCTTATATAATCTTATCTTTGTTTCTCGTGACAGGAGCGATGATCGAAAAAATTTTAGGTTGGTATAATACGCCCGGTTTTTCAGCCATGATCCTCTTGTACACCTCAGCAGCAATTTTATATACAGAATTCATTTCCACCCCCAGGTACGTGAATTTTTTTTTGTTTCATGAGGACCACCCTCATGGTCGGCTCCCGACATACATGTATTTTGTCTTATTTTGATTAAGTTCCAGCCCAACATTTTCATTTTGGGCTTTCAATATTGCAAATATTTTCTAAATTAACCTCAAATTCCTGGTTAGGCATATATCATATGCGTAAGCACATATTTGGACCATTGCGTTAAGTATGCAACCAGGCGAATCCAGTTTCAAAACATTGTTAAGTGCAATATTAAATAATGTGACAGACAAAGCATCCCCTTACCTAAGCCCATCCGTCATTGCTTACAATTTAGATCCATTCTGGGCCGTTTAAATTATATTAAACCTTTTCCAGGCATTATAGGTTTAATCACTTTAATTGTCGACTATTTCAAATCAGCCGCCCCAGTGCTATAACATAAAAATGAGATATCACAATGAAGGATACTTGGATGTGGGAACATCTTTTTATTTTATTAGCTTATTACACGGCACATTTAGTAAATCAATTAACAAAAAAAATAAATAAGTCAAGGTATGTTTTTAAACTATTTATAATTATTTTCTAGTGTACCATAATTGTGGTACAGATCCATCTAGGCGAAAAAGTTTTTTTACTCAGAGGCTCAGAATTGCATGGATGCGTCGAAAATTACAGATAGAAATTTTGACCAGGATACGATTCTTATGTTACAGGTTAAAAAAAAAAAAAAATTGAGGAGGCATATATCATATAGAGTCATATATGAGCCTTTCAGTTGACAGAATGTCTAACTCCAATTTCAACATTTTTGATTATTAATTTTATTGATATTTCTATTGGGAACATTTATAACTTTATTCACATTTCTATATTTCTATATTTATTCAACACTACAATCATCTACTCTTGAATAAACTTACTCACTGTCTGTACAGATGTTATAAATTTTCCTATTAGAAATATCACTAAAAAATATTGAAATTGGAGTTAGTCATTTTGTCAACTGAAAGGTTCATTATAATATAGAGAGACTTGATAAAAACCACGTTAGAGTTTTGGATTGATATTAAAAAGTCAAATGTTTGTATTACTACATGCATATTACTACTTGAAAGGGATCGAGCAATAATCTATTTGTTTTTAATTTGTAGAAAATTTGGTACCAATATTCACCTTTCGCCACCGTTTCCTTTTCTGGAGTCTTCTCCTTTTCTGGTTCTTTCTTTTCTTTTTCTGTAGTCTCAGACTGAGCCTTTTCTTCGGGTTTAGGTTTAGGTTCAGCCTCATCCTCTTCCTCATCCTCATCTTCATCCTCTTCTTCTTCCTCCTCCTCCTCCTCTTCTTCGACTTCTTCTACAGGCTCAACTTCTTCAGGTTCATTTTCCTCATCTCCTCCCACTTCTTCTTTTTCAGGTACAAATTCTTCTTCATCTTCACTTATCAGCTTTCTGCTTCTGGCGATGACCTCCTGAAATTATAAAAATGAACACGATGAGCGATAGGAACATCTATCTATCTATGTTAAAACTACTGAAGGATAAGTTTTTACCTCTTCAGTATCGGATCCGGCAACCTCGAGGTAACTCATCTTCTTCCCCCTCGTCCGCCTCAGCGGCTCTCCTTCGTCCTCGGAAAGTCCATATCTAATCTGTAATGTTTGAGGTATTTATTAATTGTTTTGGAGTCAATTATTGAAAAAAAAATTACAATAAATAGTCGAAATAAAAAATTAATAATGACGATTATGTAATTAAGAGAAGTAAAACAAAAACAAACCTTCGGCCTTTTAATTTTGGTTTTCTTGGGTCGGTCTGAATCTGAATCCAGGACCATCTTCTTCTTCTTTTTGCTACTTCTTGAGGATCTAATCCTACTGTACGTTTTCGTTTTCCTGTGAACAGAAGAAAAAATTCTTAATGAAATTATATGTACCATGAAATTTTTGCCTTTTCTTAATTTTTATTTCAAATAATGTTACAAGCCAATTCAACACTATTATAATTGTCAGGCTAAAATTAAAAATGTTTTCTCAATCATGTTTTAAATTTTCTGTATTTCAAACTGAAAAGAAAACAAAACTCTGTATCTCCCACAAAGAGTCTTCGGAACAGTATTATGCAAGGCAGTACTGTATGTTGGTCAACAGTTGTACCAGGAGGTGATTTGGCTCCAAAGTCTTGTAGTAGAAACTTTGTTTTCTATTACTAGTTGTAGTTTGATGGCCTCTGCAACTCGGGGTGGATTAGGGCCTCCTCTAAGAGCTTCTGCCATCCAGCTCAGTCTCTCATCGCCGCCTTCCAGTTTTGTTGGTGAATTATTGTCCTCAAGTCTGCTGCCACACCCTCGATCCATCTCAACCTGGGTCTTCTTCTTCTCCTTGTTCGGTCCAGCACTCCATCCATAATTTTCTAGGTATTCTCTCTTCAGCCATGCGTGGCACATGTCCTGTCCAACGAAGCCTTCCCACCTTTATGAACTGTACAAGCTGTAGAGTTCATGGTTGCTCCTTCTTCTCCATGCTCCATCCTCCCTAACAGGGCCGTATAATATTTTTCTTTCAAATATTAGGAGGCCTTTCTCATCTGCTTTAGTTAGTGTCCAGGTTTGTGAAGCATAGGTGAGAGCCGGTCTTATCAGAGTCTTGTACAGCTGTACCTTGGATTTCTGGTGAGCAGGCGGCTCTTCATCTGCCTCGTGAGCCCAAAGTAGCACCATTTGGCTGCCATGATCCGCCAGCTTATCATGAGGGGCATGTTGTTTGAAGAGGTGACAAGCGTTCCCAGATAAATGAAATTTGGGACCTTTTCGAAGGAGAAATTTCCTATTGTGAGAGCTGAGGCGTTCACTAGGTTATTCTCACCATTTACTAGCATGTATTTAGTTTTGGTCTCGTTGATTTCTAGTCCTTGTCATCCTAGAATCACTTGATTCTAGTCAGCGCTGCCGACTGAAGAGCAAGTAAGGCTTCCTCCATTGCCTTCCTCGATCTCGCCACAATGTCCACGAAGGCCAATAGCTGTACACTTCGATGAGTAATGGTTCAAGAGGTCTGTATACCTGAATATCGAACCGCCTTCTCCAGGGCCAGTATGAACAGCAGGCATACCAACCCATCTCCTTGGCGTAGACCTTTCCCCGTACAAAACTCCTTACAGAGATCTCCCTGAACTTACTCTGATAAGACTGTGCTGCAGGTCCCTTCTATGGCCATCTTTACCAGTCTGGTCAGCTTTTGGGGGATCCCCAGGTCAACCAGAGCTTCATATAGATTTGATCAGTTGACCCTATCATAAGCATTCTTGAAATCCAGGAATAAATGGTGGGTTGGCAATCGGTACTCCATTCATTTTTCCATTATCATCCTCATAGCGAAAAAGTGACAGTTCGAAAGCGTGCCAAGATTGGACCCCGACAAAACAATGGAAATTCATAAATAAGTTATATAAAATTAATGTATACCTTAGTATTATATATTTGAGGAATGTGTGTTAGTTGTCTCAGCCCAATCTGAGAAATAATTATTGTTTAAAATAAATATAAATTGATTCAGATACTGCTTTGTTTACTTTTCATAGGAAATGTAACCTAACAATATATATATTTTAACTAACTAGTTCATAATCAGGAATTATTACAACAATCTCTTACCTTTTCCTTCTTCCCCAAGTTGTATCGCTCGATTCCGAGCTCGAACTTGCCCAAATTCTGCGGGTTTTTTTCCTCCTAGGCTCATCACTTGATTCGGAATCGTCATTTACTGTAACATATTATTTATTGTTATATCGAAAAATTAATCTCTCTTTTTCTTTAGAGATAAAAAAAAAAAAAAAACTACCACTTAGAAGTGATTCTACAGACATTCAATAAATCATAAAACTTTATCAAATATATTTTTAATACATTATTTTATTTTTTTTTTAAACTACGGTGTGTGCTTTAGACCGCACGATAGAAGTGAAAACATCAACAAGGCGAGATTAATAATATCAAATATAAATTATAAATAATAGCTAAAGAGCATGAAATGCTGAACATTTTCCTCACTTTTAGTATGTAGGTCTGATTATTAGTTTCTGAGATATTTTAATCCATAAAACTGGTTATCATTTGGTTTTCGACACTATTTTTTCGCCTCTCTTACACAGTGTTGTGTTAGATACAATTTTTGATAATAGCCCATTAGAGAGAGGATGAAATAATGAAAAATTCCCTCGCTTACAGTATGCAGGTACGATTTTAATTTAATTTTTGAGATATTTGAATCCATATCCAAAAACACATTAAATAGTTGACTCCAACCAACATTTCCCCGAGCGTTACACATCGGAGATTCACTCCCCACAAAAAAAGTGCAAAACGCGCCTAAAGAAGTTTTCACTTCAAAAACTGTATATAATTAGTATTTAGAATTAAAACGATTTAAATTGTATAAAAAAAAAAAATGAATATAAATAATTGAATTATAAATTGGACACTCACTGAACTCTTTATCTATTCTAGATATTCTAGCTCTTGATGACCTCCTCACAGGTTGCCTTCTTCCAATAGAATCGTCGCTATCGCCAGGTTCAGTAGATGAGAATTCTTCTTCATCGCTGAAAATAAAAATTATTATTAATTTAAATTTGACTAAAGAAAAAATATAATTCATTATAATTCTATATATTATTTCTAAAAAGTGTTTTTTTTTTGGTACGTCATAACTTCATCAATTCCAATGACTGACCACTCATTTTGAAGATATTCTCCTCCACATGCATAAAATCTCATGTGTCCCACCTTTACGACGAGTTAAAGTGGCTCTTCTCTTCTTTCCGCAGACAATATTTCCTCGGATCTTTCCTATTCCAAACAATCAACACTAGACACCCTTCTTACATCTACAGTCTCCTACAGTTTAAACCCGTGGTCCACTCCCAGAAAACAAGATCCCGTGTTTCCGACCTTTATATCCCTTCCCATAGAACTAAGACGTTTGAATATTCCTTTATTTCCCGATCCACAGCCTTCTGGAATTCCTTGCCATCTGAAATCCGTCATGCCTCTTCCTTGTCCTCATTTAAATATCATCTTTACCAATTCCTTCTCACATCCCAAAATGACGTTATACAATAAAATAAATATTGTGAAATAGATTTTGACTGAGGTGAATGATTGATAAAATTTATTGTCTTAATTTTAAAAATCAACCCATGCTTATTTTATTTTATTTTTATCTTCATTTAAATAATGTTGTTTTTTTTTTATTTCGTTTTTTCTCAAAATTTTATTTTATTTTTACTTGTTTTAATTTAATTTCACTGAAGATACTGTATATATTCTTTAATATTGATTAATGTAATTTTTGGCCAGATGTAGTTTTAATTTTTTTGTTCATATCTGTTATTCATAAGGGACCTTGTCCCAGAATAAAGTTTACTTTCTATCTTCTATCTATCTAAAATAGTCCTATTCCCCTGAAATTTCTGCGAAAAATGTTATGAAGGAAAAGAAACTTTATTCACGGATAATTAAAAAAGAATGCATTTTTTCTGGATTGTACCCATAATGATTAGAAAGATCACTAAATTATCAACAAAACAAAAAAAAATCGGACAATTATTAACAAAGATACAGTCCATTGGTTTTTGTATACTTAATACTTTCTTCCTCTTTAAAGATATTGTATTTACTATTCTACTACACTTTTTTTTTCCTGCCTTTAATTTTATTATTTTTTAAAGGCATTTAAAATTAGGTCCTAGCAAATCAATTTGTACAAATATTTTGAACTATTATGTTAAATGGAATATTGTAATGACCAAGAAAGAAAATATAAATTCCTCCCTTACATAATACATAGGATCTACTTATTTCCATATTGTTTTGCAGTTTCTTCACTAAACAAAATTTTCTGTGAATTATTCGCATGGGCCAACTAGTGTATATTAATTCCTAAGACATGAAATAAAAACAAATTAAAAATTTTAAAATCATCCTGTTTTTTTGGTATTTTCCATGAATCTAAATGAGGCATATGAAAATGCACTATTGAAGTTTCTCGATTGTTCTCTTTAAATGATAATATAAGTTCTATGAATCATAATTAAAACTGTTTACTCATCACACTCTATTTTGCATATAAATCAGACACCTACAAATATTACAGACGTGTTTAATCAAGGAATGCTGTGAAATTTCATAATATGATGTCAAATATGTAAGTTTTTAGTTATTAAGAAGTACCAGTTTGATTTTTTATTTTAATGCTAACAATTTTTTTTTAATAATGTGTTTTTTAAATCAATAATAGCTAAATTTTACTCATAACAGTTCAAAATTTAAAAAGAATAAAAGGGTTTATAATCAAATGTTTAAATAAAACAGGAAAATTATTTTTAAAATAATATTTTAACTAACAGGACACTCATCTAAAATAGTCAAACTAAAGAAGATTGGAAAAAAAAAAGATATTGTTGACTTATCGACCCACAAAGGGACTTAGGTTCAGTAATTTCTAAGGAAATAATTTTATTAGATCCTTGGTTAATAACTAGACAAGAAGGTGCTTAGGCCAAGATCAAGCTCAACCATCAAGTTTTTTCTCTTAAATTAAATTATTTAATTAAGAGTACCCAATTTATAGAGGATGGGTATGGAAAATTCCAGCAAGGTTTTCCCGACCCCACGACCGGTACAAAGCTTGTGTAAAAGAGTAAATAGAATTAATTACTACAGCCGGATTCGAACCTGGAACCTGGAGGCATTAGAGCCCAGTGCCCTATTCACTGAGCCACCCCACTTCCTGACTTATACTGACCATACTTATACTGACCAACCATACTTCTTTTATTAACAGAAGATATTTACTGTTGAATATTTCTATTTGTTTTCGATCCTTACACTATAATACGAATCTTTAATTTTATCTGAACTTTTTAAAACAAATAAAGCGATGTCATTATGTCTTTATGGTTAACTATATTATAAATCAAGATGATCGAAGGGTCGGTCAGAAATAATATGGTAACTATTTATTCAATGCCAATGTTTTGTCGACCCACCTCTTAGATCTGTAACATGGAAAACAAGGAGATATTAATTGGCAAAGTTATATTCCAGTTAACATCTATTTTGTTATCCTTGTTTCAGCCCTGAAGGAGATCTATAATGTGAGTCGAAATAATGACTGGATTATTTGAAGGTTTTTTTTATGGAATACGTGGGGGAGACCCCCTGTCCGCCTAACGAAAAACCAACCCCCATTTTACAAATTACTACTACTGTTCGTTTGATTGTACTACTCGTTGCTCAAATTGTATAAGTATTATGCACATGTGCAACAAATAAATTATTACACAGTTACTAAATTTTTTTTTTATATAATAGAGAGATTACAATATAGTGATTAAATTTTGTTCTCTTCTTTTAAGCCTTTGCAGTTATTAATTAATTACAGGTGATGTATGTTTCAATCCAAGCTCATGGCTCACCACCAGGTCATGTTATCAGCACAGTACTCGAACACCTTGGGAGCTGGTAACATGCCCTGATGATGATCCGCAAGCTTGGGTTATATCGTTGGCGGCAATAAAAATCTTAAATACTGACTGCGTCCTGTCGTATCTATCACCCATAGAATACAGTCAACTAACTTCAATGATAAAATTAATAGCTAATTACCTGCTGCCTTTAAAGTCTTCGTCCGAATCGGCATCGTCTTCACTCTGTTTGTCTAAATCTGTTAATTTCTTTGGTTTTTTCCTCAAAGATGGGAGTGATGTGTTTTTCGGAACAACTGGTGGCCTCCAATTTTCGCCTTGTTCTTCTTCATCCTATGCAAATAATAATGAATGATTATAAAATTTATCATATTAAATAAAAATAATTGGTTACTGGAACAAATTTTTCTCATGCATATTTGCAAAGGTGATAAGCGTTAGAGAAAAGTGGTGAGAACGGAGCTATATCACGAGAGTGAAGACTTTGAGCGGAGCTGCCAACACCTAGCTCATAATGCTGGATATTGTATACTTTAGTTTCAAAGCCTCCATCCAAGAAATATCTTTCCACTTTTTGTTACGTCCAGTCATCTCTGAATAAAATTATTTAGTTTAACCCTTTAACTGCTAACAAAGGCAATATTTGGTGTACCCCACTCCTACCCTCAGTGCTAATGTTGGTTATAGACGTTCCACTACTTTTCTTTCCATTTACTAAGGTCGAGTATAGCCGCTTCGACCTTGCTACATTTTACTGGTTTCCTAGTGAAATAAAACTTTTAACTAGAGCCTAAAGATGGTGTGGGATTTTTTTTTTTTTTTTTTTTTTCTTGTGGAATTTAGATAGATAGATAGATAGAAAGTAAACTTTATTCTGGGACAAGGTCCCTTATGAATAACAGATATGAACAAAAAAATTAAAACTACATCTGGCCAAAAATTACATTAATCAATATTAAAGAATATATACAGTATCTTCAGTGAAATTAAATTAAAACAAGTAAAAATAAAATAAAATTTTGAGAAAAAACGAAATAAAAAAAAAGCAACATTATTTAAATGAAGATAAAAATAAAATAAAATAAGCATGGGTTGATTTTTAAAATTAAGACAATAAATTTTATCAATCATTCACCTCAGTCAAAATCTATTTCACAATATTTATTTTATTGTATAACGTCATTTTGGGATGTGAGAAGGAATTGGTAAAGATGATATTTAAATGAGGACAAGGAAGAGGCATGACGGATTTCAGATGGCAAGGAATTCCAGAAGGCTGTGGATCGGGAAATAAAGGAATATTCAAACGTCTTAGTTCTATGGGAAGGGATATAAAGGTCGGAAACACGGGATCTTGTTTTCTGGGAGTGGACCACGGGTTTAAACTGTAGGAGACTGTAGATGTAAGAAGGGTGTCTAGTGTTGATTGTTTGGAATAGGAAAGATCCGAGGAAATATTGTCTGCGGAAAGAAGGGAAGAGCCACTTTAACTCGTCGTAAAGGTGGGACACATGAGATCGCTTTGATGTACCGAAGACAAATCTTAAGCACGTATTCATGAGTCGCTTCAATCTATCCTCGAGTACCATTGGGATGCCTCCGTACACCACACAGCCGTAGTCAAAGTGGGGGAAAATGAGAGAGGATACAAGGAGCTTGCGGATGGGTTGTGGGAGTAGGTGGCGGGAGCGATGAAATAGCTTAAGGGTACCTATTGACTTACGGGAGATGAGGGCAATATGGGGTTTCCAGGAGAGGTTTTCGTCTATGGTGATTCCTAGATTTTTAACGGATGAACTGAATGTGACAGGATGATCGTTGATGACTAAAGGAGGAAGGAAGTAGATGGATTTAAGAATAGGACTGGAACCTATAATAATGGCCTGAGTTTTCATCGCATTTAGATTTAAATTATTCAGACTTGCCCAGGCACTGATCCTATCTAGGTCAGCCTGAACATTGGCGAACGCGACTAGTAGCTCAGAAGGATGAAAGGAAAAATATATTTGGGTGTCATCAGCGTATAAATGATGTGAACAGTGGTAGATGGATTTGGAAAGATCATTTATGTAGGAGTTGAAAAGGAGAGGGGAAATGCTCGAACCCTGGGCCACTCCAGAGGACAGTGTAAGAAAGGAAGATAGGGGTTGGTTTGGAATGCTGACTGCTTGAGTTCTGTCGGATAGGAAAGACTGTAACCAGAGGATAGAGCTGTTGGAGAAGGATAGGGATTTTAATTTAGTATAGAGTATAGAGTGGTCTAAGGAGTCAAAAGCTTTGGAAAAGTCGAGAAGTATTAATACAGTTAACATTTTTTCGTCCATTGCGGTATGTAAGTCATTGGTAATTTATTAACTGTTATAGGTGACTATCAGCTATGGTTTTTCTCTAGCTGCCTCTATCATTTTCATTCTTGTTTTTGCTTTATGTGTGAAACAAACGTCTGTACAAATGCTCTGAGTTTATAAAAATCTTATTTAGTTTAGTTTACTAAGAAATTAGATCAAATGAGATTAGTTTAGTTAGTTATGTGACCGTATAGAATTAATTATTTTTTAGTTAAAAATTAGTTAGCACAAAACCAAGGTAGAATGTCGCAATTGTAAGGTTTTTCTTTGTATTGACAAATATTTTGAAGAATACCAAACATAATTAAATTATTAAATAAATATCCTAACTTATAAAATAAAAAAAATTGAACTCCACCAGTGTCAGTCCACAGCCCTAATAAAAAAGAAGAATGGAAACAATAAAATAAGGTTTAAAGATAGCAGTAAGAGCGGGTAATGAAGAGTGGGAAGCAGGTAAAAATTATACAGCACTAGGGCAGGCTGGTAGGCGTAAAGCTCGTCACTCGCAGCAGCGAAAAGGTGAAAATGTATTATATCAGCTTTTACACTCAATGTCGAAATGTTATACACGCCATTGAAATTTAAAAAAAAAACTTATGTTTTCTTTATTTTTGATTTATATTATTTTTTTTAAGCACAGTTTAAAATATAAATTATGATATTGAAATGGTGTCAATCTTCTCAGATCTTGAGGATTATTTAAATCCAATATCAGTAAATATTGACATTTTATATGCCTCAAAATGATAGACACATTTGTTGTTTATTATTTTCTTAATCCTCTAGAGATGAAATTGTTAAAATACCATTTCTACTTCAGTGCAGGGTTGAATTTGTTTCAAAATAGACCTAAAAATAACGTGAGCTATGGGAAAAAATAAGTGTTCTTCCAAAGAGGAGCGCCGTTTGATTTCTTCACTCCACAAGGACGGGATGAGTTGTAGGGAAATAGCCCACCGAAACAAGCAGAGTTTTTCATCGGTCACGAAGATTATTCAGCATGGGGAGACATATGGAGGCCCCTGCTATGACATTACGAGAGAAACAGAATATTCTTCGAATTGCACCCAACTTTTGTAAAATAGCAAGAGCTATTGCTGTGGAAGCTGGAGTGTTTTTTTTTTTTTTTTTTGTAACAATTTTTAAAGTATGTTAAACATTTTGACACGGAGTGCATAAATAAATGCATGTTTATAGAGTAGAGGTAGAGAGCTAAGAGAGGTATGACTGTAAAAAGGTTTGGCAGTTGCACAAGCCTTGCTACGGCCGGCACAAACCATATCCCCAAGCCCCACCACAGCTCCCAGATACACTATTATTTCAAGTGTTTGGCTAAAAATATGAACCATTTTTTATTATTTAAGAAATGCAATACATCCTTTATAATATAATAAGAATTATTAAAATAAATTTAGGAGGCTATGGTGCAGCATCTCATTACTCTACAATCAGAAGCGATGGTGGAATGAATTAGGTAGTTCTGAGAGAGTTGACTTATATTTCTAGGCAGACTTTTTCATTCAATTTGGACTAGGTTTCTGACAAAACATGTAGGCAATGACCAAAAATAGAAAATTATTTTAGTAAGAATAAATAAAACACAGTAAAGCATGAATGAAATCCATTTATATTTACAGCTATAGCACCTCACTCTGCCTCCAATGGTTTTAAATACCAGAGCTGCAGATGAGAGAAAAGCATTGGAATCTCCTATAGTCCTGCTTTGCCTTCCACAAGTAAGAGTATGACATAGATTCGACAATACATATGATTACAGATATCACTGTTACTTATTGCCTTTTAAAGTGGTTGATTACAGTCTGAATGTATTCCAAGACTCCAACAAAATAAAATTTATCCCTTACAGAGCAGAATGAAGCTCACAGCGATTCTATTCTAGTATTTAAGAACTGAATCCCTACTATAGAGCTGAAGTAAAAGGTTAAATAAATTACCTCAGGTTTAGGTTCTTCTTCGACGTTAGCAGTCTCGTCTGTCTGGGCCGCTTTCTTTTCCGCCTCGACAATGTTGGCAATGTCTTTCCCCCGGCCCATATTACCAGCACCTTTCACAGCTTCCATTTCATCCTGAATTAAAAAATAATTAAATGATAGACCAATTTTGTTTTTTAACAATAACTCTGAAAAAAAAAAATACTGAAAGCATGTAAGATTAGAACAGATCAACAGTGAGAAAAAAAGACAAATATACATTGAACTATTTTAAATAATTAGAATAGCTATGAGAGTTTTCATCTTAAGTATAGACGATACTAGACTGAAACGACAAGAAACCGCTTGACGTTTCCGATTACTTCAGCACTTACTAGACAAACGCTCTACACATCCGATTAATTACAAAAGACTCATATACTTTGACTATAATAAGGCCTATTTGGACTTACGGAGTTGAGCTATGTGGCTCCACTAAACCATCGAATTCCTCTCGTATCCAATTCTTACAATCCAAAATCCTTCGTAAAATCCTCAATGCTTCCTACTTTGTCACAAATAAAACCATCCATAATTACCTTAATGTTTCAGATCTGACCCAATCTAGATACCTATCCTTCCATAATAAACTTCAGAATCATCCCAACCCTCTCGTTTCTAACCTTGCTTCCTCTTCAGTTCCTGATAACCCTCCGAGGTGTCTGAAAAGAAAATGGCCCCGTGATCTCCTAATGTAGACATACCATTGGGTAGTTGCTCGGCTAGTGTTTTCATGTCATTATATCCATTACGTTCAAATTTACTAGTTGTATTTATTCAATACAGTTGTAAATATCATTAAGAAATAATAAAAAAATAAATATAAGTATAGACGTTTCATATTGTGACCAATGCATAGCCACATATAGCTTAGACCTATCACTATTCACAAATCCAGAATGAAAGAGGTATAACCCAATTTCTAACATCAGAAAATTTAGCAGTCGGAACCTTATCATTCCCATGAGGAGCCGAACTTCAAATATCAGATAACAACAATAGACACAACAGCTGATCTACCAGCAATAGACACAACAGCTGATCTACCAGCAATAGACACAACAGCTGATCTACCAGCAATATCTATTAGAGACAACTGTATGAGGGCCTATAAGTAGAGTTTGTTGTGTCTAATAATTGGTCTAACGAAACAACATTTTTTTCAAAGTTGTGCCCCTTTTAATTTGGATGTACTGTGTAGTTGCAGTTTGTTATATTTGAGATTTTTTTTTATTAGTTGGGATGAGCAAATTGCGAACAAAAAGTATCCATAAATACCATTATGGTATACCAGGAAATGGTTGACGGTGGTTATAATATGAGAAGGAGTTAGTTAGACAAATCAAATCATGTCAAGTGTAACCTTCACACGTTGCTATCCACTGATATTTTATCACACTTTGTTTACATTTTAACTAACATGCTAATATATACCTGTATTTTTATTTTTGTTTGTATCTTATATATTTATAATACTTTATATTTCGACTATATTATAACCTACTAAATCAGTGATGCCATTTTATAAGTTCTTCAATTTCTTAATCAGACAACTGGTATTTGTTTTATATTTACGAATGATTCAATTATTTTATTTTTTACTTTGTACTGATTTATATTTTGTAGCCCTGATGAAGACTTACAAAATGGTTTAAGTCCCTCTAAACTCCCTCTCATACAAAAAAAAGTATCCATATTATAATTATAATTATCAGATATATTATAATGCATAGTCATATACATTTACATTTGATAATAATGAAAGATAATTTATTTTTGCAAATCTATAAACAAGCTTATTATCAATAAAAAATAATAATAATAACTTACAAAAAGATAGGAACAATATTTCAACAATTTACCAAACATAACATAACAATATGACTGATAATATTAATTTACAACTAATAAAAATATGTTTAATAATACTAATTAAAAATAAAACTTCTAATAATTATGTTTGAAAAAACATAATCACTAATTCATTAGGCATCAAAGAGGTATACCATCAGCAGTTTCATATCTACTTTGCTATTTCATATCAACCTTCGCTGACTGGACATTTTTCATCCTCTTTTGCACATGTATAATACGTATGAACATGTTATAGAAAACTAATATAAACAACAAAACTTTCGATGATTCTTACAGCTAATGTATTTGGTATTTTCCAACAAAATTATAATTTAACAATTTTAAATTTTAACTGTAAATATAAGTTATTTATATTTAACGAAGCAGATGTCCATGCAGCAACGGATATCATGTAAGAAAAAATGAATATGGACACCCAAGATGGATAGTACAATGAAAATTTTTATTGACTAAAATTTCTTATTATGATTAACCCGAATATCAAGTATTATTAATATATTGTATTGTTATAAGTCATTTAGTAAATTTCATTATTTTTTAAGGGAGAATTTTATTTGTTATAAACATATTAGATTTAATTTTTATATGTGAATAAAATACGTATTTGAATAATTAATAATAATTATTATTGAAGAGAAGATTGGTTGGGAGGAGCAGTAAAAAAAAAAAAAAAAATTAAAAATTAATCAGTATATTTATTTTTATTTCTGCTGACGTTTTGACCCAACGTTCAGGCCTTTATCAGGGCTGGTCAAATGGAAGATATCTGCAAGACTTGCATCTTCATCTTGGTCTTGCGGAAATTTTTCGTTTGACCAGTCCTGATGAAGGCCTGAACTTTGGGACGAAACATTAGCAAAAATAAAAACAAATATACTTATTTATTTTTACTTTTTTTTTTTTTATTGATCATCCTAACCAATCTTTTCTTCAATTCAACATATAATATATAAAATTCCTTTTTACAACTATAGAATCCCAGCCAATTCTATAACAAATCTCAATAAATTGACATGTATTTACTGATAACAAAAACAGAAGTTTTCCTAAAAGTGAGGTAGCTGTATTAAAGTAAGGGGTTAATAATAAAAACAATATATACAATCCATGATTTTATGAAAAACAGAATTTAGGTAAAATTACCTGCTCAAAGGTCACCTTTAAATATCGTAGTTTCAACTAAGACAAGGTCTACTTGTTGTTTTTGAAGAAAATTTTACCTAATTTTCAATATTGCCATTGTAAATCAGCTGACTTAATAGTTTTTTAGTTAAAATAAACTCATGTTATTACAAACTCCTCGTAAAAGCAAAATCGGAACCCCCTAGAAATTTGCATCGATTTACCTATAGCACCTTCATTTTAACAATCAAATTCTATTAGGACTAACTGCAAACTACCTTTTCAGCCCAAGATAGAAATAAATTCGTTACAATGAACTAGAAAGGCAAGTTATAATTAAACTTCCATTCTTTATCGCATTGTCAGAATCAGCGAGAACCTGAGATTGCAATTTTATCAAGTACTTGAACTTAATAATTATTTAAATTAAGGGCCTTTGACAATCAAGCAGCAATAAGAGCGGTGGGCAACTATACAACTAGATATCTAAGGTTGTTAAGGACTGTGGTATAATTCTTAACAATATATATATATATATATATATATATATATATATATATATATATATATATATATATATATATATATATATATATATATATATATATATAGGGTTGTTTTTTCTTCTTTCTTGTCCTAGCAATAATTCAAGAAATCCCATTTCTCCTGAAGTCATTAAGCTGTTCCACTTTTTCGAAATATTTATTAATCAATAATGACGAGTGGGATTTCGTATCACTCTAGTCAAAACAAGTTTTTGGATGATATTTTTAGTATTTTCTTATTTGGTTGAAAAATATCTCAAAAAAGGAAAATACGAATTGAATAATATGTTTGTGATCAGTGAAGGTTTAAATAATTTAAGTATTATACATAGTGGATTTTTATTCACTATATAAGAGGAAAAGAGCAAGAGGATGTCGAAGAACCTCCTATTTCACTAAAGAGGAACGAATAAGGAGAAGCAAAGGAAAGAGCCTAGAAGAAATGAGAAACCTTTTTTCCAGGACAAGAACTCATGGCACCGGATGGTTAGAAGGACTCCCCACGCTATAAGGCAAATGGGTGGAAGAAAAAAAGGTTTTTATCAAAAAATGATAAAATTAATAATAATCTACTTTATTAAGCTACTTAATTTTATTTTTATTCAGATATTATGTACTTTTTTATAATAAACTAATGAATATATGGTTTCTTTGAATTCTTAGTAACAAGGATCTACCCTATCATTTCCAAATCAACAAAATAATTCAAACTTAAATTTACTCCTTTTTCTGTTTGGAATCGGATTATAGAATAAACTTTTTATTTTATTTGAAGTCTAATATCACCTTCCTTAAGACTGGGAAATCATTTACATTAAATTACATCTTTATAATATTAAACGAATAATAACAAACCTGAATTGCAGAATTGATGAGGTCGTCATAATCGTTGAACCGGTAATTAGCTTGAAGGGCAGCCCTCCGCTGTCGGAGCTGGTAGACCGGTTCTTCATCGCTCGATTCGCTCTCCTCGCTGGAAGACTCGCTTGATTCACTCATTATCCTTCTTCCACCGCTGTAGGACGATGATTTTTCTTGGGTGGGCAAAACATTAGCAAGGCTGATACCTACGTATGCCAACCTCTTCTTCCGCAGTTCCTCATTCTCACGTCGTTTTGTGTTTTTTTCAAAGGCACGGAGGGTTTCTTTGAGTTTGGAGACTAATTCGAGCTTTACAAGAAAAAAAAAAACATTATATAAATAGGTTAATAAAATTATTTTTTTCATAGAATAAATAATTATAATTAAATGAAACATTTTAATAGTAGATGTGACCATTAAATTACTATTAATATTTCTATATGATTATTTTTTAGTGTGAATTTACATTAATCACAACCCCAAAGAGTAAGTTAACTCTTGAAAAAATAAATTAAAATTTCCTCATGCAACTAACGCAGTATTATAGTAATGTCGAAAGATAATGTGTAAAACATTATTGAAGGAAAAAAATTACCAAATTAATTAAGTTTAATAGTATTTATAACTTTGCCTTATTCGTAACTGTTATTAATTCTTCATTGCAAAAATTTAAAACAATTTTTAATTCATAGCTAAATTTACTTATTAACTATATCTTCTCATAAACACACCACCTCTAAAATATCTGAAAATCTATTCTTGACAACTCATTACGTTGGTTAGAACCAGAGAGAATGAGAAAACCGTTAATAGGGTTGATTTTAGTATTTGAGTCCTACAGGAGACATGAGAATTATATAAAAACTTCTGCAACTAAGAGGTATGACCAGAATGTTCGTAAAAGCTAAAAATATATATATATATATTTTACTTCTCATGTTATTTGACATTTAAAATTATTTGGTAAGGAAGAGTTTTATTTGTTTTCAGATATAAATATTATAAAAAATTTTCCCTCTTCCGTATAATCGTATTAATTTCATTTGTCTAATGTTTCGGGTGTTGTATCCATCCTCAGTGACAATTTTAAAACTGCTAATGGTCTTCTGTCCATCTTATATTATTTACAGTATACCAGAAAAAAATTGCTTTTATACTCCAAATAAAGTTTAAATAAATACATATAGGCTTAGTTAAATATTTTTCATTGCCACATTCAATATATATTGTCAGTTCAATAGTTACTGAGTGACTTAACAGTAACAATTGAACTGACAATATGGAGGCTGACACATAAAAGGATGCAAGTAGATAAAACGATAATGATAGCTAACTTGTTATAAGGCACGTGTTTTTACATAAGAAATGCAGTAAACTAGGATATGATAGACTTAAAAATGGCTCAATGAGCCAAAACGTCGTCATTCTAAGGTAGGCATCGGAAGTGAAAACATTACTGGTTTACAGTTGGCTTATGAAATATAAACTGAAATATTATAAGATACCGAAATAAAAGAAAATTATATTAAGAATATTTAGATTTAGATGTGGGATGCCCAATAGACTTATTGTTCATAAATAGAATAAGTATTTTTTAAAAATATTATTGTCTTTATTAGTTTGTTATCTTATATATCTGTGGGCTCATAACAAGGTGAAAAATGATCCTTACGATGTCAGTAAACTGAGATATTCAAAATCACTTTTTTATTATGTTTAGTTTTAAAATCTTTCTGGACATATTGTTTACATTTTTTCATCTAAAGGAATTCAATTAGAAAATGTTTAACACTATTTTTAAAGATATCTTTTTTTTTTTTTTTTTTTATCATCCTCTTCCTCGCCTTTTTAGGCTATTCGAGGTTTTCCTGGACCTGGAGGTGAGGTTGGGAGATTAATGTCAGAGTTAAGAGACCCCTGGCACCAGGATAAAAAACTCGTGATTATTTTGTCAATTAATTAATATTATTGAATATTTAATAGTTGACCGTTGCATTATAAAGGAAGGTGATGATCTGGGGTGGCATTCATAAATAGGCTAAATAGTGGTAATAAAATATTTTACTACTATTTAGCCTATTTATGACCGCCAGCCCGGACCATCTCCTTCTTTTAATTAATATTATTCCAATATTAATATTATTCTAATTAAAGATATCTACTACAAGCAACAAAAGAACATTGAAAACACAATATAATTATAATTAGTACATACATGCTGACAAGGAGGGCAGAACCAGTCTCCCTCGGGTATCAACATGATGGTCGGTCGAAGGCAGGAAGCATGGTAGCCGCTGTCGCACTTGTCACACAAGAGAATCCATTCAGGATGGTCGGGCTCCCCGCACTTTTTGCAAGGATAATCTTCGGTTACTTCTGCTGCTTCTTCTTTGACTTCATCTTCATCCGCTTTAAAAGAAAACGTGTAATTGTGTTAAGAAAATTGATAATTTATTAAATTAAATTAAATTTACTGCAATGCATTTAATCTAAAACTAATCGTTAAATCTTAAAAACATATTAAATCAAAAATAACAATAATTAGGTACTTGTACAGATAAAAAAAAAATAGCATAAATTTGAGTTAAAATAGAATTCAAGTGTTAAAGAACATATAGTCCGTGGTCTAGATCCCTTTTTATCAAATTATTAACATCCGTCTAAAACTCCGTGAATGGCTTTATCTTATTCTAACCTACAACTTCTTTAGTAACGAAAATTCTCAGAAATGAGGATTTTCTCACTAACTTAAATTAATTTCATGAGGTTCTAAAAACTCATGAATACCCATTTGCTTTCCAATTGAATCATAGGATAATCACAAAATAGAGGAAAAATGTAGCTTACAAAAATATTGGGCTATTTTGTCTTTATAACCACGTTAGGGATGGAGGTTATGCCAAAGGGCCCAATATTTTTGTGAGCCACCTTTTTTCTTGATTTTATGATAAAATTATTTTAAGATTCAAGTGGAAAGTAAATGAATGTTGATGAGTTTTTAATCCCTTCTCAAACAGACAAATTATACAGATCTCCAGATTGAAAATGGCTCATTTCCCAGAATTTTTGCAAATAAAAAAGTTATATGTTACGATAAGATTAAGCCATTCATGAAGTTTTAGATGGATGTTAATAATTTGATAAAAAATGGTCTGCACCGCGGACTAATATATTAGAATAGCATCTTCTTCTTTGTCTTCCTCAAAACGCCATCTGTAGCATCGAGGAGCCTCTATCCAGCGCAGCCACTCTTCCCGGTCTGCTTAACCGCTTCATTTGGTTGAAGGATTTACCTCTTCTACCTCCGATCCTCTGCATGAACTCGTGATATGAAACTCTGGGAGGCCCCTTCCCTGTGGGTCGAGCCTCTAATATATTTATATGGTCCATGTCCTCGTTCATGTGGCAGACACTTCCAAACCCCTTAAGTTGATTGTTCTCCAAAGTGGTTTTGAGTTCAGGCGCTACCAGCTGTTCTCTGATAGTTTCGTTTCTAATGCGATCTCTCCTAGTTTTTCACACTGATCTACGTAGGAACCACATTTCCACTACTGTTATGTGGTGGTAATGTTTGTCCAACATAGTTCAGCTTTCTCGGTGTAGATGAGAAGAAGAGAAAAATGTAATCTGCATATAAAAAGTTCTGTACGAGGACTGTTCTCATATTCCAGTTTCCAATTGCAGTCCAAGCAGTCCGACGCTTGCAGATTTTATGGATCTCGTTCATAAACAGGAGGGGGCTTAAACTATCTAGGATAAAATTTTACTTTTTAAATTATTAAAAAAGGTACATATCTAACTAACAATTTGAGACCACATTGGGTCATGGAAGTATGGTGAGGAATGGGATGTGGCCATAGTCCACTGCATACTGCTTCCAATACTCTTAAATCTCTTTCTGCACTAGATTAAAGACATGCATTTATAAAAGATAATAAAACATATCTTCAACTAAATGTTCCTAATGAGGGATGACAGGGTGAGAGAAAAATTGATAGATAAAAAATATATAATTTTAAATATTTAAAAAACTAAGGTGTGTGTTTTAGACCACACAATAGAAGTGAAAACATCAACGCAAGATTAATAATATGAAATATAAATTATGTATAATAACTCATTATAAAGAGGATGAAATGCTGAACATTTCCCACGCTTATAGTATACAGGTCAGATTTTTAGTTTCTGAGATATTTTAATCCATATCTTCAATAAAACTCATTATTATTGGGTTTTCGACACTATTTTCTCTTTTTTAAGATACAATTTTAAATAATAGCTCATTACAAAGAGGTTGAAATGATGAACATTTCCCTCGCTAACAATATGGAGGTCCGATTTTTAGTTTTTGAGATATTTTAATCCATATACAAAAACACTTCAATTAAACGACTCCAGTCGACTTAACACATCAGAAATCTGAGGGCTCAACCTAATTCACTCTCCACAAAAAAGTGCAAAACGTGCCTAAAGAAGTTTTAACTTCAAAAATTAAATTTCTCGGATGGAAATTTGAAGCTGAAAACAAATATTCTAAGTTAAAAAGTATTGGATAATCAACGATAGGTCATGACGTTGCTCTGTACCTCAAAACTTTTCTTTAACGCAATACCTTACCTTTGCAAATGTGCAACAGAAAAATTCAGGAGATTTTTTGCACTTTTATTCCCATAACCTTATCTTCATTAATTAATAAAAATTCAAAAATCATACAAGTACTTAATTATGATTCCTCTGATTGCTAAGACTATAGACTATCATCATTACATTCTCAACATCATATCATGGAACCGTACCATACCTTTCTTAGCTGTTCGAGCGCGACGGATGGGTTCAATAGTTTCATCTTTCTCCAGGTCAGATTCTGGTGAAAATTCATGATCAGAGACAACTTTAGTGGCCCTGATGTCTTCCTCATCGTCTTCTTCCTCAAAGTGTTCCTCCTCTTCTTCCGCCTCTTCAGAACTGAAATCAGATAGGGTACATTAAATTATTCAAGCAAAATCATATCATTCATACTTTAATGAATAATCTATTATTAGAGATCACATGTCCATGTTATTGCACATTTTATTCGCTTGTGTGTAAAAACTCCGGACTTAAAAATCTAGCCACTTCAGAGTCTGCAGAATAACATATTTAAATTTTATATAGCACGTTCTGTCGTTTTTGGCTTAAATTCCATGATTTTGATTTATGTTGCATTAAATGATTTATAAATACAAATATATATGTGTGCTAATATTTACTTTTTTATTTTACTATATTGTTCAAATTAAAATCATTATTCAAGATAGACAAATATGAGGATGGTAAAGAATTTTGCGACAAGCAAAAACCGCATTTAACATTTAAAAAGGAGGAAGTAAACACAAGTGAGATATATTTTTGGAATAGAACTTGTCTAAAGTATTGGATAATAAAAAGCTGCCTTTCTACAATAAGCTGTTTTGTTAGTAAAACTTTTATGGTTATTGGTTTGAATTAAATTCTCACTCATTCATTGAGCCCTCATATTGAACATATTTGAAAAAGTTAACCTACATCAAAAATGCACTTCATGACTTTTTGCAGTAAATCGATTTAGTACATTTACGTTTTTTAAAAATAGCATAATCACCCAAGACTAAAAAGAACTTTAAAAACCAGCATCTAAAAACACAATAATTAAACATTCTGACTTACGAATCATCAGAAGACGATTGCCAAGGTTTGTTGATATCGTACGTCAGACCTTTTTTCTTCTTCTTTTTACGACCTTTCTTCTTCTCTTCGACCGGCTCTTTGAACGTTTCATCTTCTTCTTCACTAACCTATAATAATTAAATATTAATACATAAACATGAATACTCAGTGCTTGTGAAAAGTCCGGTCGGGACGAAACCTCCCTTCTTATCTCATCTTACATCACATAACCTCCCTTTTTATTTGTTGTTATCCTTCTGTTAGAATTCAGTTATTCCATTGTTTATTTTTCTTCAAATGGATATTATTACACTGAGGGAATAGCCGTTTTCAGAAAAAGAAGCTATAAAATATTTTCAGACGGCGGGAATAATTCCAAAAGTGAAATTCTGTAAAGAAGGTCATGAAATGAAGTTTGACAGATAAATGAAATGGAGATGCTTTCCTTTCACAGCAGTTGTAAAAAAAATGCACCTATAAGGAATGTGGTTAGAGGGATCGAAGATTACCTTTTCATTAAAATTAATTTATGGGCAAAGAGTAGCTGAAACTATCGAACAAAAGTTTGATAATGTGGAACAAATTTTTAAGAGAGGTTTGTGCCCATAACATGTTATAAAGGTCAACAAAAAAATTGGAGGGCCTGGCAAAGTCGTTGAAGTAGAAGAAAGACTTTTTTTTAAAAGAAAAAATCATATAGGAAAAGTTGTAAAAAGTGTTTTGTTATTATTACATATATCTGTATGTTAAGAGGTAAACCATCAATGTGATTTTTTTTTCACTTTTGAGATTTTTGTGACACACATTTTTGATGGAGCTTCATTGGTGAAAACTAAACTATATGCCAAATAAGATGGCAAGTGAAATATTATTTCACCTACCATCTTATTTTGCACATGTAGGATAGTTTTCCCCAAAGAAGCTCCATCAAAAATGAGTCACTTAAGATAAAAATTTAAAAAGTGTAAAAAATTCACATATGATGGTTTACCTGTGATATAAAGATATATGTTGTAAAATAAAAGTGTTTTGTTATTATTACATTTGTTTTTGTCTATTTCAATTTCCATAAATATGAATAAGAAGATAGGGATTATCAGTGCTTTATCAGAATTATCACTATTCAGTTTATAAACATCGGCAGATAGCAGTCCGCACCCGACCGGATCGTTCACAAGTACTGAATACTCTTATCAATATGCTAATTTGTTAAATTAGGATGGTTTTTAAAATATTAACTTATAAATTATATAAAATATAACTAAAAATATAATAAAATAAAAAATGCACGAGTTGGTAATAAATTGTATACTTACATTTACACTTTTCCCCTTTTTGTTTTTATGTTTCTTCGGTGTTTGCTTGCTCTCCTCCTATAAACCATTAACAAAACTTAAAACTACTATAATTATATATATTTTGCATAACTTTAATTATGTAAACTGATCATCGGTTATTGATATTAAAACTAGATGTTACAGAAAGGTTTTGAAATAAGTTAGTTTTGATAAAAAAAAATTATTAAATTAACTCATGACCTTGAACTCAAATTAGGGCGGGAAATAATAATATGATAGTAATTATATGGAAGATTGGACCTTATTAACATGTTATTTTTACTTTAAACTAGGAACAATCAATGATGGTGATAAAATAATACTTTTAATATAAAAAATAGTTTCTTTTTTTTTTTTTTTTCTTTTAAAAGACTTTATGCAGCATTTAGAAGTTTCCTATACCATGGCAAGCACAAGAGTGTGAAAGAGGTTATTTCGATTGTCCGTTATCTCCTGGGTCCATCTAGGGTCTTGTGGAAAGTACCACACAAGCGCTAGTGTTCCTTAAGAACTTAACAGATATTCACATTACGGTAAAGCTTTTTAAAAATATTTTAAATTGTTTTCGATGTTATCTTTTTAAGATAAATGTAGTATAACCAAAATATTTGTTCAGAAAAAAAAAATTGTTTAAATATTCCTGTTTCTTCTTTTATATTTTAATCAAGAGCTTATAAATTTTTAGGTTGGTCGGATTTGGGAAACATGGTAAAGTTATCTGTAAACACCAAACAGATAGCTATGTAGGATTAATATTTTTATATCTAAGCTAGAAAAAAAAAAACTTTCAATAAGTTAAATATGCTCATAAAATTCATTAGCAATATAACAGTTTTTAACTAAAGAAACGAGATATTCTTATATCAATGACATCCATAATTCAATCCTTCACTGCTCCTATCACCTTTACGCCCATGACTCCCAAATCTAACTTTCCTTCCATCCCTCAAAGTTGCATGAAGCGTTTGCCAAAATTCAAGAAGACTTGAATCGGATCAGTGCCTGGGCAAACTTAAATGGATTAAGGTTAAACGCTGCAAAAACTCAAGCCATTGTCATTGGTTCTAAACCCCTTCTCAGAGCCAATACCAACATACCTATACTGTACCTAAATGACCATCCCATTACCTTCACCTCCTCAGTAAAAAACCTAGGCATTTTCATAGACCAAACCCTATCAAGGAAACACCAAATTGCTCACATTACCCGACAGTCAATTGGTACCTTGAAACTATTCCATCGCTTCCGCCATCTCCTACCCATCTCAACACGTAGACTCCTAGTAACTTCCCTCATCTTCCCCCACCTTGATTACGGCTGCGTGGTGTACGGTGGCCTCTCGAGAGAAACTAGGAGAGAGACTGAAAAGAATTATGAATGCCTTCGTAAGATTTGTCACAGGGGCCCTGAGGTATTCCCGTGTTTCGCACCACTATGCTGAATTAGGATGGCTCTTCCCTTCCTTCCGAAGACAATATTTCCTAGGCACATTCCTTTACCAAATAATCAATAGTCATCGTCCATCCTACGCATACAATCTCCTACAATTCAAATCATCTATCCACACCCTCTCCACAAGATCTCGTCCTTCTGACCTTTACACTCCTTTCCACAGATCTGCATCATTTAAACATTCCTTCGTTGTCCGTTCCACTGCATTCTGGAATTCCATCCCACTAAAAATCCGCCATGCATCATCCTTATCCACCTTTAAAACCCTCTTATTCCAATTCCTCTTCACAATCCAATCAGACGCTGGTTAAATACATACTATGTTATAAGGATTTAATTTTCTTTAGACATTATTTTTTTTCTCTTATTTTTTATTGTTTTATTCTGTGTTGAACGTGAATTTTCATCACCACTCACTAAGCATTGTGAGTAGATAAAATTTGATTTTTCTTAAGTTCTAATTTGTTATTCATGAAATGTATTTCAGTGAAATGTATTTTATTTCTAATTATCTTCAACATACTTCTCGCTATGTGTATATATATATACTTTATTTTATTTTCTCTTCTCCTAATCTTTACGCATAATCACTTAAATATCTTAGGGAACATATGTATATCATTATTTGTTTTTTTATATATTTTTTTGTTTTAGTTTTTACAATTTCTTTCCCTACATATTAACAGTTATTATTATTTTTTTTAATTTTTATATTCCATCACTACAATGCTTTACCTATAAAATAGATTTTACTTTCCTTTCTAATTTCATTCAGTGATTATTATGCAATTATTTTAGCTCCAATATTGTAGTACTGAACCCCTATTACCCAACTGTCCTCGTTAATTTATCCTAAGAGCTTAATTAATACTTAATGTATTACATGTATTTTGTTATTATTCATTGTAATAAGTCTTTTGATCAGATTTATAGTTAATATATATATGAACAATACTGTTATTCTAAAGGGACCTAGTCCCAGAATAAAGATGATTTTTCTGTTCTATTCTATTCTATTATTAATACAGTTGAGTAAAAAATTGCAAATTTTCTCTTTTAATAACTGTATTCTAATTCAGATGATGTTGTATTGAGCCATTAAACTATAAATAATGGTAGTAGAAGAAAATTAAAAACTTCAATGCACCAGTAAAGTCAGTAAAGTTGGATGTGACCAAAAGAGAGAGAGAATAGCAGAAGCTCTCTCCTCAAAGATAGAAGGACTCGCCACTGGTGGTAATGGAATATCATCATAATTTTAATGAAGAGAAGAATAGTTGGAGTGATCAGTCAAATAAGAAGGCAAAAATAAATGATAATATTTTTTTTGACAATTGCCGACGTTTCGACCTGAAATTCAGACCTTCATCAGGGCTGTCTCCAAAAAGTGTTAACGGAGAAGTGACTTGAAGTGACCACTTCTCCGTTAACACTTTTTGGAGACAGCCCTGATGAAGGCCTGAACTTCTGGTCGAAAAGTCGGCAATTGTCAAAATAAATATTATCATTTATTTTTGCCTTCTTATTTGACTGATCACCCCAACTATTCTTCTCTTCATTATTCACGACAGTCAACCATTTACCCACAATTATCGATCATAATTTTAAGTGATAAAACCAATAAATGTTAAATAATTATTAATAAAACAGCATCACTACAACCCTTGAATGTTTTCGGTTTCCGTAATCGCAGTGGAAGTCCAATATTTGTGCAAGTCTATATTATAAAACAGTCTCATTGTAAAAAGTTGTTATTATTGTGAACAAACTAAACTGTTTCATTGTAGAACATTCAAACAGCATACATTGTTTAATTTATAAAAATTGTCAAATACATCAATAATTGTGATCATTAAGGAAGCAGAGTAGCTTAGTGGGCAGGCACTGACATCCAAAGCTCATGGTCCCATGTCCGAATCGGGCTGATAGCAGGTAATTATTCATTTGTTTCATCGGCTGTAGATTGACCTCTACATAATGGGTACTCTTAATTAATTAATCGATTAAGAGGAAAAAAAACTTGGTGGTTGAACATGCTCTCGGTCAAATAACCTCTTTACACAATCGTTGACCTAGAAAAAGTATTTCCTTACATATTGCTGAACTGAAGACCCTTCATGGTATGTCGTTGTATAGGTATTTTGTTATCATTGATAACTTCTAGGATGTAATACAAACACAAATACCTTTGAATCCACTAAGTTTGGAGATTAGGTGCGGAGATTATTTGGGGATTAGGTGTGGAGCAGAAAACAGAAAGGAGTGAAAAGTAATTGTAATCAGAGTATTGATAGAACCGTGATACAATATTGAAATAAAATAAACACATCCGTGTCAAAGTTAGGTTAGGAAAAATTCAACAAAATATTGTAAATGTTTAGATAGGATTTAAAAGGAAACATTAATTTTTAATTGTTTATATTCCATCACTAGCGATGAAGGTAATATTGAAAATTATAACTCAATTATTTGTTTTGAGGAAGTAATAAATGAGATATGACGTAATGAGAAACAAAACACTCTTGATAAATTATATAAACACAATGATGGGCTTAAAATAACCATTATTCAATTAACTCACTTTGGGTTTCTTCTTAACTTCTTTCATCGTTAACATCATGGTGGCCTCTTCGATGGCTCGCCTTTCTGCTTCTTCTTTTATTTTTATTTGAGCGATTCTCCTGCTCTGCCTGACTCTGCTCCCTTCGCTCTCATTCGGTGACGGCTTTGAATGGATCAGATCGCTTTCCATAAGTCCTAACAGTGCTGTACAACCAAAAATAAAATAAAAATTATAAATAAATGATTTAGTTAGTCAAAAATATTTATTTAACTAAATTCCTGAAAATCAATTCATTAAACTTAAAATATATTTTTTTATTGAAAGTATTTTAAGCCTTACTAAAAAACTAATAAAAACATGATTTATAAATCCAATTACTGTTAACCAGAGTCAAGAAAAAATGATTTTAAATAAACAATAAATAATCTCAAATACTAACTTCATTTAATAATAACAGATAATGAATTCAATGTTACGTGATGAAAAAAATATTATATCAATTTTAATCTTGGCAAATTATTAGAATAATGTTTATATAATAATGTTTTATTATTTTTTAAATATTTACAAGCCTGTTTATGTTAAAAGGTAAGCAAGTAAACTGAAAAAGGTTATCATGACCTAAGCATAAACACAAATATAACAATACAATAGTTTTCGTCATATTACATTCTAAATCATCTATATTAACTATCTCTTTTTTTACGTTATCTGTTGATATTTTATCAGTATATATTTTAATGATTAATGATTCACTATATATTAGTTATAATTTATTTTAACATCCTTACTACTTTTTACTTTTACTGTTTATAAATATTTAAATCATTATATCTCATTTATCTTAACTTTAAACTCTAACAATATTCTACATTGCTTTGTACTTTTGTTCATTTTTAGCAGTAAACAAGATCTGATAAGTAGGTCGATATATTGCATTATATATATAAGTCGATATATATATATATATATATATATATATATATATATATATATATATATATATATATATATATATATATTGCAATAAAATAGTTTTCACTATTTTAAGTTTACTGAAAATGTATAAATTATGTATATAAGTTAATTATAAAAATTTGCTAAAGGGAAAAAGATATTTTTAAAAAAACAAGTACCTATATTTATAGAAATACTTAAGTCGTTTAAAGGAGAGTGGGGAGGGGTTATAGTTATGAAAAGGTTAGGTTTCCTCCGCAATAATATATTGATATTAGTGTAACTTTTGCCTAATCATAACTTAACAACAATAAAATTTAAAATGGATTACTTTTTTGTTTCTTCGGCCTTCCTTTCTTCTTAGGCTTTGGTTCATCACTTTCCAAAGGCTTGCTATCATCATCTTCCTCCCCTTTGACCTCGACGACTTCCGTTTTGGTATCTTTGCCCACTTCCTCTTCTGCTTCATTGCTGGTATCGTCTCCTGTTTCGTCTTTGTTTGATTGTAGTTCTTTCTTAGGACGCCCTCTTGACTTACTTTTACCTTTCGATTGAGACTTTGCTTCTTTTTTAGAAAGTTGTTTTTTGTCGTCCTTTTCATTACTCTTTTTAGCGAGTTGTTTTTTTTCTTCCTTTTCACTTTCCTCTTTGTTGGATTGTTGTTTCTTCCTCGTCTCTTTCTTAATTGCTACTCGTTTAGCATCTTCTTTCTCAGACTCCGATTCTTCTTCTTCTTCTGATTCTTTTTCTTTACTCTTTTCTGTCTCTTTTGCTTTTCCTGATTTTGACTTAGATGTGGCAGGACCATCACGTTTTCCTTTTTTTTTCATTGGCCGACCCCTAGAGCGTTGTTTATCCTTGGAATTTGCATCAGTATTTTCTTCTGCTTGATTATCATCAGAACTACTGGCTTCAGGTTGGACATGCTTTGTAGATGGAGGTGTCCCTTTAGATCGACGAGTTTTAGCTGAAAAATATATATATTATGAGTACAAGTGATTATAACTATGAACATGCAAAATACATAATTTATTGAATACTATTATTAATATAATCTCTAATAATGCATAAAAAGTTCTTTACTTCAAATTAAACAAAGTTAGTTTTTTAAATAACTGACCCATCCCTTAAGATAAAATAATTGTTAAGTTCAGTTTAATACATCAATATTCTTATAATTTTGTTTTTTATTTAACAACCTCTTATTCTTTTGGAAGTATTGCTACAAATGAAGTGATCTTCCAGGAGTTTTATTATTAATGAAAATATAAAAGATACTAGTTGAACCCAGCCACGCGTTGCTGTGGATCATTCTGGTTAAATAAAAAAAGAAATCAGATGTTTCTAATGTATTTTATGTAACAATAGTTGTGGATATGCGATAGATATAATTTGCTGTCTCATTCTTTGTATAGATATAGAGATTGTCTGGTTTTCCAACTCTAGATATCCCAACATATAATTGTCTATATAAGAAGCAATTGGTTTTTATATCTCCCAATAAAAATTACTTAATGTTAAAAGCATCATATCTCTGCACAAAATCGTCCGATTTAGAGATTTTTTTTTTATTTGCTGGGAATCCAGAAAGCTTTCAAATAATGATGGGTATAATCCAACAAAAATTGTATAATTTTTGAGTTATTCGCAAATATAGTGTTGAATCCATCATAATTTTTTTTCATACTCTTTTCGAAGAAGGATGTTATATACATAAATTAAAATGGCTTCAAGGAGAAGACTTTAGCTAAGTTTAATTAAAATCGTTACAACCACGTAGGCGCAACATTCTATGGCGACACAAGTTTTTGCGACGCCTTTTCAAAACGAAAGAATGGAGGGTGATTAAATGTATATAAAAGCACTCCTAAATCAGATAGAAACATTATGTCAATATTTCAAAACAATCAGTGAAGAAGTTTCAGAGATTAGTGATTTTGAACAAACGAACATTTACATTTTTATTAATATAGATGAAGGAATAGATATGTGATGAGTCGTCATGGAAACCGATTGACTCTCTATTAGAATCGGTTTACCTGCTTTTCACTAAATAACTCATAACACCTTGTGATTTTCTTGTAATTCAATGTATCTATGACCGTTGGAAAGCTGAGTTGTTACTCTTTAAGTTTATATAAAAAACTTTTATATTTAATGCCTTCATAAGGAATAAATAAAGAAAAATTACGAACAAGTTTTTATTTTTTATCTCCAAGACTAATTTATTTACGGACCTCTGGTTAGTGCCATTTCGCTTATATATTATTATGGCCCTAAATGCATGCCAATTTTTGAGTGGGTAAGTAGAGCCATGTCGAAGTTATGACAACTTTTGTGATTTTTTTTAAAAAATGAAGGGGCCGGCCTTTAAAATTTGATGTAAAAATTTTTTATTTTTCTATATAAAAAAAAACTATGTTTAATCAAACTGATGTTCAAGAAAAATGTAACAAATGTATTTCGGTTTTATAGGAGAGCTAGAAGTTTTGCACGCTCGTCCTACTATTTACAAATTCAAGAAAATTATGAAAACGTGTAAATAAAAAAATCATCGAAATCGGACTACGTGGTGCAAGGATATAGTGGTCTAAACATTTAGTATTAATTCTACTTTAAAGATTTTTTCTTCATTTCAGTTTTGGATTACTCAAAAACATTAAATCAATTGTTATAATTGTTTTCAAGTATATTTTAGTAGAGTTTTATTTTTTTTTCGAATCTTTAAAAATTTTTAATGGTATATATTAATAATAAAATTCATAATAGCGAGGAAAAAGTTTTTTTTTACCCTTTATATATATATATATAAAGGTTGGATCATTTAAATGAATTAAAGCATGGAATAAATATATAAGGGTAAAATAAAGCTTTTTCCTTGATATTATAAATTTATTAGTAGATTTTCTTATTTAACAGAAAATGATATAAAAGTATTTCTTAATCTACCCTATTTTTTCTTCTGCTCTTCATTCGAAATTTTAAAATTTGGGCAATGACTCTTTTCTTCCTGAGACAGTATACATTGTATCAATAAGTAATTATTCTAGCTAATTTCAAAAAATTTTTTTTGTAAAATTAATTATAAAATTTGTTTTATTGCTATAAATATGGAATGTTATATACTTCATTTTAAATAAGATATTGTCTATATATAAGCTATTACACGTTTATCATTTTAAAAATTTACTTTATTATTTTTAATGACAAAAGAAACATTTCTTTATTTTTATTTTTATTTTCTGTGAATACAGACAGCTAGGTCAAAACGTACCTTCCAGAGAACTAAATTCAAAGTATTTAGCCTTCATCAGATATTTAAAGGCAATGTTTAGAAGCTTTTGTAAACTTAAGAAAAAATATAATTTAATAATTATATATTTAATGAAACTAGAAAGGATTAACCTATGGATGGGTATAGATTATTATATTTATAAATTGATAACTTACTAAATAAAAATATTAAACCTTTGCATAGAAACATTACTGAATGGAACATACAAATATAAGGTTTGTGCGAAGTATTCGCACGGGTCAGCTAGTTATTAATAATTCTTACCAAACAGTATATGGGCTGATAACATTACAAACAAATAAGTTGTTAAATGCAAAAGAGGTGTAAGTCTAAAACTGAAGTTTTAAGTAGTTCAACACTTTAGTGGAAGTTTTTTGAAGTAATATTAGGTGTTTCTTGGTTACTATCTGTGTTATAAATAGCCAGTCTCAAGCTTATCTAACTATTTCAAAGCACAAAGTTAATGCACTAAGTAATTAATTAATTATTTATTGAGAGAATGACTTAAAACACTTTTGCACCCAACGGCTCTAAGGGTATATAAATATAAATTAGTTTAAAAATTACCTCTTAGCCTTGGTCTTTTACCACCAGCTTCTTCAGCGTCTTCGTCATTGTCGTCAACTTCTCCACCGTCCTCTTCAGATCGACTCATTTTGCGACTGTTCCTTCTTTTCCTGCTTGGCTGCGACTTGAAATCCGGTGGTTTACCCAAAACAGGGCCGTCTTCCAAAGGCTGTTCTAATGAAAAAGATGCCAGAGTAAACCCTTTGTTCTCTTCGACACTTTTTTTCGAAGCATCTTCATTGTCTTCGTTAGATTTGCAATCCGCCTCATCAGTTTCTGTTTTAGGAATTATGTTAGTAGTTTCATCCTCTTTTTTTACCTCCACTTTTATCTCATCATCTACCGCTTTGTCATTTTCATTCTTTTGTTCAATATTGTTTTCAGTCTTTTCCTCATTTATATTCAGCTCTTTAATAGGATCTTTTGTAGTAGAAGAATCGTTCTTCGACTTTGTTCTTGATCCTTTGGCATTAACCACTTTATCATCTACAGGTTCTGAACAAACGTCGTTCTGAGAAGTCGAAGATGCATTTCTTCGGGTCACTCTCCTGGCCTTGGTTGCTGGTACGCTGTCTGTTTTCCTAATTTTATTAGGTATTTCTGTTTCCTCATCGTTGTTCAGACTGTTCGTACGAGATTTTCTACCTCTTGTAACGTTCCTCACAGAGTTCTCCTCCTTTATTTCTTCCAATTTAATGGAATCACCATTTTCGGATTTAATTTTGCTTTCAGATTCTGATTTACTTGTTAATATATTTTGTAAACGCTCTTCATTAATATTTTCCTCTTGTTTAGTATTGTCACTATTTTCGTTTTTAACATTTACATCAGGATTAATTTTTTGTTCTTCAGGAGTTTCGATATTTTCATCAGAACTATCGCTTTCAGAACTATTTTCAGAAATGCTTGATGTTGGAACTTCATTTAAATCGTTGCAGGTTTCTTTTGAGCTACTCTTAGTTGCAGGCTCGAGCAAATTTTTCGCAGAAAACAAATCGTTGAATTTCGCATTCAGTTGTCCTTTCAACCCAGATTTGGCATCGTCTTTGCTATAATTGTCATTATCTAGGCATACTTCAATAATATTTGTCAACATGACGTTCTTCCTTTTCTCCTCATTTTTATCCAAAGCAGCAGAATTACTTTTATCTGAACCACTTTTGGATTGATCGGCACCTGAGCTACTAACCGTACCACGTTTAGGTTTTGATGTTTTACCAACTGACAAATTTTGACTGGCCAAAGAGATATCAGTAAGTTTTTCACAAACTACTGAGCAATTTGTTATAAGTTTGGAACCGTTTTCACAATTCGTCAAGGTATTCTTGTCTATGATATGAGAATTTACTTTGTTATCATTTTCACATTTTTCAATCAGAGAGTTATTTACCTCACAGTTAATTTCTCCATCACTTATATTGTTCGTAGAGTTTTTGCTATTAGAGGCAACGGTTTTTTTGGCGGACTTACTTGACTTAGATTTCTTATTGTTCAATTTAGCACTATTTACATTAGGGTGAGAGTCGACATCAGGTTTCAATGAACTGTCAAACAACTCATTAGGATTCTTATCCTCCGCTACATCCTCAGAAATTATACTAGTCTTTTTGTCATCTTCTGAAAATGACTTTACATTGCTTTCTGTAACAACAGGTAATGCATTGTTATTAATGCTGCAATTTATAGTTGATGGTTGATCATCTGTAGTAGATTTCTCATCAGATGTACAATTGCTGGAAGAAATGTCACTTGAAACCTGATCTATTTTACTTGATGGTACGGAATCAGAATTTAACACTTGATTTTTATCTATTTCCTCATCAATATTCGAAATACAATTACTATTACTCTCAAATTTATCAAAACTATGACTACTGATATCATTACTTAGTTCAGGTACAAAGCTGCCAGTATCGGACTCTACACTATCAGGAGGCTTATCCTTCATAGGGATATTTTCTAAAATAGGCTTAACACCGGAGAAAGGCTTAAGACTGGAATTGATGTTATTAGATAAATTAAAACCAGAAACATTTTCTTCGTCGACAACATTCTCCTTTGTACAGTTCAAGGCACTGAAACCTTCAGACATCTTTGAGGAACCTTCATCACAATCAGGATCTTTCTGGGAGCTTCCGGAAGAGTTTTGTTTCAATGATTCGTTTAATAATTTTTCAGGCGAGCAAATCGCATCAATGGACCACAGCTTGGGCTTTTTTTCAGGAGATTTGTCATCTATAGATTCATCGACTTCATCCGGATTGCCAGTGAGGCAGTCCTGCCCGTATCCCGAACCATGGACAAACATCACTGGCTCCTCGATGACATCGCTGAACTTGGGCTCGCGAGTAGCTAGGCTTAAGCTTCCCAGAGAGCATTCAATTCCCTGAGTAGATGATGAATAAGAGGTAGAAGCCTTGCTTTCATCACTCAGCCGTGGGTTACCGATTCCACATTCTTCTCCAGATCCAAGCCCTACAATAAATAGCATAGGCTCTTCAATAACTTCACTAAATTCTGGTTCTTCTTCAACAACATTTTGGCTGCACTCGGAGTCACTTATATCTAAATGTTTGCCATACTTAGGATTTGCTACATCACATTCTACTCCTGAACCTGCCCCTACAAAATATTGCACCGGTTCTTCTATAACTTCACTAAATATAGGTTCCCCAGGTTTGCCGGGGTTTCCCAGCTGACAATCCTCACCAGAACCTGGGCCGGTCACGAGCCTCACGGGTTCTTCTATCGCATCGCTAACTACAATGTCTTTCTTGACAAGCATCATCGGCTGATCGTCATCATCCAACTTCAGTTTTTTAGCTGGATTAAAACTTAAATCTTCAGCTTCTCTTGTATCATTGAACCTTGCGGACATCTGGCTCAGGATATCGTTTCTTTCAGGCATATAAGGCCTTTCAGAAGCGTAAAAGTCATTTGGCATATTTGAATACCTTTTTGAATCAGATTTGATACTTAAATCTACACCAGTTAACGATGACATATTTTCTTCTACAGGTGGGATGAGACATTTCTGCTCCATGTTCGATGCATTAGTCAATTCGACAGGCTTCTCTTGCTCTAGGTTACCACGACTACTAACTTGTTCTATAGCCACAACTGACTTTACCGGAACTGATTCCACTTTTTGCTCTATTGTCTGCTCTATGTGTTTTTCTGTATTCACCTCTTCCCCTTCTTCATCACCTTCTTCTTCCTCTTCCTCCTCGACCTCTTCTTCCTCTTCCTCTATTTCTTCCTCCTCCTCTTCTTCATCATCACCATCATCCTCATCATTCCCATTAACTGCTTCTTCCTGCTTATCCTCTTCTTGCCCGGTATCAGTGATCGGCTTTTCTATTTCTTGACTAGTAGAATCTTCATTCAGAATTGAATTGAGTTCTAGCTGACCCTCTCCGTTAGACAGACTATCTATAAGTTGTACCAATCCATCACGATCACTAAAAAAGAAGAAATAAAATTTCAAATCATTAAACATTACCATTGAAATTGAAATCTTATATTGAATACTACAAATAACACAATAAATAAATTGTAAATTACAAATTATACATTAGGATGAACGCACCAGTTATGGACTTTAAATGTAAATAATAAGCTTCCTTTTCGATTTAAAAGTTCCAGTTTTTCCTAGATTGGAAAACAATGCTCACTATTGACAACTGTGAGAACAAAGTTCCCAAAAGAAAATTTTAAAATGCCTATTATTATTGTTTCTATAGTGCTCTTGAGATCAGTGTGTTTCACACCTTTCTACTAACAGTTTTGCTAAGAGTAAGTTGAACATTTATAGTTCAATAAAGATTTTAGATTTTTTCTGAGGCATGTTCATTATTAGTACCGTAATTCCAGCGGTCTCTACAAACTGAAGTAGGCTTGTTGGATTGTCAAGGTGCCACACAAACTGATTGAGGCAAACCTGGCCAACCAAATATCAATCAGCAACTCTCTTTTGAACAGGTACGAAAAAGACCCATTTCTCAAATGAATAGTGACGGGTTTTGAAAAGTGGATCATCTAAGACAATGTGGTGTGCAGGAGATCATGGAAAACTGCTGACGAGCCACCTAATGCCATCCCAAAGGCTGGCTTACATCCAAAAAAGATTTTTCTCTTCATACGGCAGGATTATCACAGCGTGCTGTTTTACGAGTTGCTTCCACAAGGAAAAACGATTGATTCAAAGATCTAATGCGCGCAGTTAATAAAATTGGACCAAGCATTGCAACATAAAACGGCTAAAACTAGTTAAGGTGTTATATTCCACGATGGCAACACCTTACCCCACTCCGTAATAATCAAACAGCAAATATTAGTGCAATTTGGCTGCAATGCTTTATATACACACCGTATTCTCCAGACCTTGCAACATCCAGCAACCACTTTTTCCGATCTCTCCAAAACTCCCTCAATAGGAAATCATGCTATGTGCTTAATAGGAAAGCTGATGAGAGATGTGAAAACGTATCTCGATCAGCTTTTGCTAAACCTCAGAGAGTGTTTATAAGCTAATAAAACACATTTTAAAATAAATATATAATTACTCACAGACGACAGAGTAAAAAAAAAAAAAAAAATCTGAAAAATATTCATATATTTACCTTGCCACCAGCTCCCAAGTTTCATCATCAACATCTTCACGATAAATGCGAACATGAGACGACTTATCGAACTGGCACCAATACTGGAAACCGCTTTGATCCCTGCCGAGGGGCTCCAAGCGAAGGTCTTTAGCACCGACTTTATTCACTTCAGATTTAAATTTCCCATTTACGTCAAATTGAGTTTCAAGCAAAACCTGAAGAACAAAAACAGTTAATATAAATATATATTTTCTTGGATAAGGATGATAAGGGGAAAACATAATATATATGACAATACAAACAAATAATTTATACTCAACCCTAGAAAGGCAAACTTAAATATGTCAACTCATTCTGATACTCTAAGGTGTGGTACACCCCAAGCTTTAAATTATCATGCTCTGGGAGAGGCAAATACTTTTCAGAAATTAGCTAAACAATCAGGAAAAAAAAAAAAAAAAAAATCAAAGTAACCTTAGAGAATATATTTTATGTGCAAACATAAAGTAAAAAGTTAACATTTACATCGCTAAAAATCTGGTGCACACGATCACACGATTTTCACTCACCACCCTCTTCTTTGCAGAAATAAATATTTTCAGAAAAAGAGGAAATAAAAGTAAAAATTATAGACCCTATATTTCTTTACATTGCATTGTGGGTATTTGTATTTATTTAATTATCCTTTATATATATATATATATATATATATATATATATATATATATTATTTTTATATAATTTTTATATCGGTGTAATCTAGAAAATTAAATATTAAATAATACCAGCAATAGTATTCATGAAAACAGCATATGTATATGTACATAATATTGCCGGAGTCCGTATTATATGAAGCTAATATTACGTATGGAAGCCTGTTATAATCTTTCAGGCGAGCTCGTATTCCTTTGGTTTCTCCATTTCAACTATTATCCGTTACGATCTCTTAATTCTCCTTCAGTTAATTATCAAATTCTTTCATATTTTATACTTAACTATTTTTTATATCAAAGATTAAAGTGAAGTGGTTAATTATTTCAAATTAAAAATACAATATTACCGGAAGCTAATATTAAAAATTAGCCATTTAAGTCCTGTTAGAGAACATCAATGAGAATAAAACCTACATTATATTAAAAACTGCTTAATAGTACACTGATTTACTGAGTTTAATCAAAATCGTTAGAGCCATTTTTGAGGAAATCGTTAAAAGGTGTTAAATTGATAATATAAAATACCACTTCCGGTAAGTCGATTTTGACGAAAAAGTTACAGTAAGATCTAAGTTATATATAAACTTTAAATATGCAATTTAACTTTCATACGTCCTTTCGTTCTTTAGCTAGACTGATCACACACACAGAACATTTTGCAAAACTTTGCTATTTGGACTCAGGAGACCTCAAAACATGTATTTCCGTTGATAACTCAGATTTGAAAATTTTTACAATTGCAATACTTACTGTTAGACTATATAGTGCATATATATGTAAGTGAAAGTAAAAAATAAAAAAAGGATCAATATTTTTCCATTGAAAATATATTAAGTTTATATCAATTAAATATATACATATTTGGAATGTAAAATATATATATATATATATAATAAAGGAAAATAATATTTTGTTACTTAGAAAGATAATAAAACCTATAGTTGGGGCCTTTTATGTGACCACTCACTCACAACAATCCAAGCAAACTGTTGCCTTGAATCCATTGCAAATAGGTCTCTTATATTGCAAAACCATTTTTGTCTTCATATCTTACTCTCTCGTGCAAAAAAAATATTTGGCACGTTTTTCCAACAGAAATCGTTTATTTTTTAATTCCCAAAATTTCTTTCATGTTGTAACACACCATTCGTTTGAGTGTCTCCACTTGCAGTCTTCTTATCAAACAGGACTCAAGTAACGAATAGCCTAATCCAAATAAATAATATACCCATTTAACTAACTTAGCTGAACAATATAATGGAGTTTATACCAGCGTGGTTCGACAATCCAAAGAAAAATCGGAGAGGCAGCCTCCTCGGGTTACAATATGTTGAAAGCTTTACTGACTTGACAGAACCAAAATTGTTGAACCAAGTACCCATGCGATTGAAAACGGAACAAACACATAATTAAGTTTTCTTGAGGGTGCTGAAAACTGGGGGTTTTATCTTATACAAATAATATACTTGAGAAAAATCGATACTTAACAAATAAAGTAATGAAAAGTAACAAAAAAAGAATTGGCTAATAGTTAACAACGTCACATTTTATATTTTTGAACGGAAACTATTGTTTAATTATTCACGTACGAATAGCCCACAAAGAGACAAATAACCAATAAAAGATGGCTAGGTAAACAAAACAAAATATTAATTAATTTTAAAATATTATATGTGATCTTTTTATTTATTATTTATTTTCTTAAACCATGCTGACTGTATCTATAGCTGGTGCTCTCAAATAATCTTAGAATTTATAATTATCATAAACTTTTTTTTGACCTATAAAAAATACTGTTTAATTTATAAAATATTCAAGAATAGTTTAGGTTCTAACAAAGATCACAGAATGATAAGATTCATACTTGAAAATTTAAAGACTTGTCTAATATTACATGTATTGAATTTTCTATAATCTAAATTAAGATATGACAACTCTTATTTCCTTGAAAATCTATCACAATTTATTGTATATTTTGAGTATTATATTCATATTAACATATTTTATTCACATAAAATATTATAATTAACATTTTTTTTCATAGTAATAGCATCAAAGATTCAGAATCATATTTTCATATGAAAGTCCACTCACTAAGAGCACGACTGTTTTTGCTGACATCGAGAAAAAGACGAAGGCTTCCAACTATGAATTTAAAATTAGTTCAAGTAAATATTTAAAATTTAAGTTCATCAATTCTACATGAAATTGTGTCCCTTTAGAGACCCAGTTTGTCAAAATCCATTGCTGATGAAACCAGGGAGAAGAAATTGTTGGTACTCAATGGATCCAGAATTTGATATTCTACAACTTTTGTTCTTCGAGTAATTCCATTAGAAAACTCGTTTCCAAAAGTCACAATACTATATCTTGGTATTTCACAGAATTGGTGAACATCATCTGTTTTTGACCATATCATTTAATCGAATCATTAAGTTGTGGTATTTGATGTTTCTACATTTTAAATTTTAAGTAATAGATTAACTATTAATAATATAAACTAAAATAAGAAGTCAGACTACATAGTCCAGGTATTAACAGCAATTTGATCACCTAACAGGCCAAGTTATATATATTAAATAAAAATTTTATAACATGTGATTAAGATATATGTGCTTCAATCAAAAGGTGAATAAAAAAAAAAGACATTGAAAAAATTCTAAATGTGCATTAGGAATGTGCTGGAAACATCTTAAATAAAATCCCAAATCATCAAATAATAGTTGCTAAAATCTTCGAGATTATATAAAAAATGCATTAATTGTATAACTATTAACTTCCCAAGAATCGTAAGTTGAGATTAGGAGGAGACACAAGACAAGAACGTGACGCCGGCACAAAAGGTGAACAACATTGATATACCTGTAATTAATGAAGATCTACGACATCAAAAAGATTCCAGTTGTGGATCGCAAATTATACAGCTCCCGCAGAGAGTAATGGTTCTTAAAATAGTGATTTCGCTTCGATTCGGTACAATATCTACTTTACTGCACATTCCTGTTTCACAAAGTTAATAACTGAACGAGTAGTCTGACTTCAAAAGTCATAAAAATTAAATTTACAATATCAAAATAATTATAGGATTAATAGATCTACAAACATAAACTATTATCTTAAAATTACATCTGTCTAAATGTGGACAAAAAGTGATGGAGTTCATGAGACTAACAAAAACGTGTACAAATGATCCTAAATGCAGATCTTTGATACAAGTATCTCAAGACTTTGAAGTATCATCAGAAGCCATCAAGAGGGCATTGAGAGAGATTTATTAATGTTATCAGCCTATAAATAAATGAAGATGAAACAAAATACCTAGTCCTGTCATAAATATGGTTACACGGACATATACACAGATTTTAACAGAAATATTAATTTTTTCAAAAACTTTATTAGAAAATAAAATGTGTATCTATAGAGAGTAAAACAAAAAAGAAATTACTGAAAATATCCTCAGACACAGACATTTAATCTCCGTGGGCAGTCATCAATACCTGCACACAGCTCTTCTTGAGGAAAGCGCTCAATTGCTCAGACCAGAGATTGTTTGTGGCTTTCCAAGTTAGGGTGTGCACTGTGGCATGCCATCCTCTACAGTTCGGACCAAAGCCGATAATCTAGTGGGTTGAGATCAGGGCTTCCTGAGGGCCAATCCGAGGCAAAGATTAACTCTGCAATGTTCTTTTGCAGCTACTGCTGGGTTGACCTGGCCTTGTGAGCTGGAGCAGAATCCCGTTAGAAAACCCAATGCTCCAAAATATAGCCCTGATAGTTTTTGGCAGCTGTTTTAACTCCTTTTTCACAAAAATGGAGCTCTGTGGTGCCATCAAAACAAACTCCCCACCAAACCATCACTGAGGAAGAGTGATAACCTCTTTCCACTCTCCCAATGACTTCCTGGGCTTCTTTAGAGCTGTGTCCGTACACACGATTATTTTGGCAATTAAATTTTTCTTCAATTGTAAAAATTTTCTCATCGCTAAACAAGACCATTGGTGTAACAGCCAAGGAGAATTTGCATCTATCCACTCTAAATTTTTTTAAGGAAGTGGTTAGCCTTTGTCCTGTCGTTCTTCGAAATGCACCCATCCTAAGCTCACTTTTTATTATGCGAGACATTGATCTGACAGAGATACCCATTTCCCGAGACATGGTATGTTGTTTTCGAATGAGATTTCTTCTGATTAAATACCCACAGTGATATGAAATGAGAACACAACGCTAACATCCAATAAAGTACTGCTTGCAGTAACTGGTTGGTCTATAACTCATGAAGGTGAAGAGTTTGAACACGGGGCTCAAAGCAATCCATCGGGATGCTAACACACAACAACAAATGCCACAGTAGTTGACAAGAGACAGGGAGGCCAAAAACTAGGTTAATAGATCAAATTAACAAATATATTGCATACACCAAACTGGCAAGGAGTAACCCAACATAGAGAGAGGTGGAGGGTTTGGCCAAATTGGTTCAAATACCGTATGATATAAAAAGCCAGTAAATAGAAAAATAATTTTTTTTTTAAATATATATATAGGATGTTACAGGGTTAACTGGCCGAACTAAAAAAATGAACTAAGGACCTCAAAACAAGAAAAAAATTTAATACATCCGCAAACGCTTTGTTTAGGAGATATTCACACCTAAAGATTTTCGTTGTTATGAATTATTCACATTATATGAAATAAATAAAACCTATTTATTTGTTCCAACTACTTGATTTATTAAATATTAATATTCACATTAAATGTTGTTCTAAGTGATTTCCTTGAGCATTAAGACAGGCTCGGCATCTTTCTTCAACAGCAGCAGTGGCAGAACGGCACTGGATATGTGTTATTGTTTCACAAGATTAAATAATCCTTCTTCGTAAGGGATTAAGGTCATTGACCGGACTTGCTCAATCATATCCCATATTCCAATCAATGGATTGGCCTGCACGCTCTCTAGGCCTGACACGACTGGATTTTTTTTGTTTGGGCTGACATTAAACAAAAAGTCTATGCAAGTCCTGTCAATGACCTTAATTCCTTATGAAGAAGGATAATCGAATCTTGTGAAACAATAACACATATCCAGTGCTGTTGAAGAAAGATGTCGAGCCTGTCTTAATGCTCAAGGAAATCACTTTGAATAACATTTAATATGTATGTTAATGGTTAAATTTAATTAATAAAGTAGTTGGAACAAATAAATAGGTTTTATTTAATTCGTACAACGTAAATGATTCATAACAACGAAAATCTTTAGGTGTGAATATCTCCTAAACAAAGCCTTAGCGGACATACCTTCAGAGGAAATGTTTTTCTTGTTTTGAGGTTCTTACTTTATTTTTGCAGTTTGGCCACTTGACCTTGAAAGACCCTGGATACAGGGTTTCTCAGTTCTTAATGATTGAACTTTAGGGGGCGATTCTGAACAAAATTTCCATAAAAAAGGAGTTAAGACCAATTTTATGTTTTTCCTAGGCAGCCACGTTTTTAATTGAATAAAAAGGAATTACTCAAAGACTGTGCAAGACAATTAAATTTGAAATACACCATGGTAAAGTATACGAAATGTTCTTTGAGAAAACCATGATTAAATTAACTAAGGTAAATGATAAATAGACTTTCAGGAGGTCTAATAATGCAAAGCCTACTATTATCCCACATTATTTCACGAATCGGGATTACAGAGATATGCTGCTCGGGTATGGGTAGTGTGACTGCAGCAGTACAGGGGTCGTATTAGATCTCCTGAAAGTCCATTTTGTCATTGACCTTAGTAAATTTAATAACTGATTTCTCAAAGAACATTTCATCTAATGCGATTTAATTACCTTGGACAGTTTTTGAGCAAATCCTTCTTATTTAATAAAAACTGCGACCATTTAAAAAAAAAAAAAAATACAAAATTGGTTTTAACTCCTTTTCCATTCAGAGTCAGTCTATGTTTCAAATGAACTTTATTATAAGAAATTTTGTCTAAAATCACCTTCCATTGTTTGGCTATCAGGAACTAAAACACTCAGTATATTTATAAATATATATCCAAATTTAAAACAAAATCAGACAATAAGAGATAATAGTTGGTTCACAGATAATTAAAATTTTTTTAATAACTCAAACTAATCAGTAAATATTTTATTAACCACAGATTCAACTAAATCAATCAATAAACTTGCAAAAACAAACGCGTTTCAATCATTTTCAAAAATTAAAATTCTTTTAACAAATGTTACATATTGTATAGAGAATTATCACAAAACCAATAATGTTTTCAAATCAGTGGTAAATTAAACTTGAATTTAGTAGTAGCCTAATTGGATCATCAACTAATTTTAGCAATGAAATAAAGGAATAAAAAATAAAAGTTATTGCCAAACCACAAATTAAAGTCAACAAAAAAAGGCCAGTAGTACTATGTTTTATGAATGATGTCTATATTATCATCATAAAGAGTCCTAGGAGTAATAAAAACTTTTTTATGGTATTGGATTCATTCATTAAATGTACATGTTAATAATAAAAACCATGCATGTACTTATCTACTTAACTAATATATTCTCATATCAAATGTTTTATTTTCCTCCCTTATTCACACATCTCAAAAAAAAAGGAGCATTTACTAATAGAGTACAATGAACAATAACAACACATGCAAATTTTGTAATTGTTTTCAATCAAATCAATGGGCAAAAACTAACTTGAAAACGAAATTATATGAAGCTCACCAGAGGAATCATAACCACATAAGAGTTAAAATTTAGACAACTAAATAAAAACTATTTTTTTTTTTAAAATAACTGTTTAATGGCAAGCTATATAGAAATAATTTATGATGGAATTAAATCAAGAAACAAATAAGAAATTTAATATAATATGTAATTCCTATACATCATTTAAGTGTCTAGCCTATTTTTCCTTCAGAGGCAAATTAATAATACTAAAACCAACTTCAATAACATTAATTACCGTATGTTGGTAACAATAATGGCAAAGCAGATCTGCACACTTTAAACCTAAGCAATTACAGCATATTGATAACAAATGAAAATACAGAAAAATAAAAACAAGTTTTAATTCAATCTTTCATATCAAACAAAAACAGAAGTTAGGTTAGAATTCTAAAGTCATAAAACAAAACAATAAAATACCAAGAATTAAGAAAACATTTTCATAAAATGAATAGTTCGGAGAGGACAAACATGATTGTGGAACAAACTTTTACAGACATACACATAACGGTTCCAAAACATAAACATGACATCAGAATGAGAGAGATCATAAACAAGTAATCAGGATGCTAAAATTCAAGGTTGAAACTTTTGTGACATTTGAATTGCCAAAGTCATTTATACAACAAATTATTTAATATTTATTTATTATAAAATCAAAGTAAGTTAAAACAAATCCAAGAAAATTTTAAAGATGTCAAGTTAATGCTAAAGATAACACTTTGATAATGAATACATAATATAAATCAACTCTATGTTTAATTTTCAAGAAATAATTTAAATAAAGTTAACCTTAACATAAATATTTAAAAGGCTTATTCCAATACAGGTGTAGATTGGAGAAATGATTTCTTTATATAAAACAGAAACTTTTCCATTATATGACAACAGAATAAAGCAAAATCATTTTGAGAATTTATGACATACCAATGATAAAATTGTCATGGGAAAAAAATATTTTTAAAAACTCACCTTTAACAATTTTACTTTGACACTCAGCCGTGCCTTCTTGTATCCGAATCTTTCCAGCTCCCATCCGTCTTGCTGAGAATAGGTGTGACAAAATCTGGCTAATGCTTTTTCCCATTTATCCGCAGTGAAACTTTTACGAGCTTTTCTCAGCAATTTAATGTGTATATCAATCAGAACCTGTGACACTGAAAATTTCATAAAATTCAATTAATTATTAAAAACATTTGTTTCAGAAAAAGGTGAATTTCAAAATAGGTTTATATTATCTGATAGAATAAAAACAATGGGATTCTACAATGGTGGTGAAAATTAAGAAACACTGAATGCTGGGATTTAAATTGTCACACATTTGTACTAGGGATAACTGATATGTGGGTTTGGAATTTTACTGGACAAAATATAGATAAAAGTGTCGTGTTTTGACTTATAAACAATGAATTTAAAATTGGTTTTAAAAAATAAAATAAACGACTTGACAGTGTCATTTTTCAGAAAGCGGTGTCTTACACCTCCGATCACAATCTTGGCCTTACCTTCATCAGTATCTTCCAGCATGTCTTGAAGTTCGCTAAAAGTTGGGTGTGCGATACCACAAGAGGCTGCGAATTGGTTCAAAAACGAGCATATCACGGCGAAATTCGGATCAGAAGCACAAGATAGCAGGGATGCTTCCGTCTCGGTCGCCATTTTCACTCAATCGTTGGAAAGGATAAATTATATAGACGGCTTATAGAAACGAGACGGGTCCTGACAGTTGAGTCTTTTATCTTGTCGAGTTGTCTTCAAAAGGAGAAATTATCAATGGAGTCACTAGGGGTCCGACACTAGCCATCGCAAATACACCTATTCCCCAGTCGAGATTTCAACACTCACTTCGATACAAACTAACCAAAGCCTGCACGATGGTAGGAAAATAATAATAAGAATCTTCACCTTCTACGCCGATTATTTATAAATAACGTTGGAACGTCTATCTATTCTCTAATATGATATAATTGACAAAGGCTTACATGTAAAGCTAAATAATTAAAGTAAAAAAAGATGAAATAAAGTTATAGCGGAGAGGGGCCTCCGGGACGTGCTGCTACCTGGCGGCGGAGCGGACTATATTTTTATTAGTACGAGGTTATAATATAACCTGATGCTGTTAGTAAACAGTCGACTTGCAGGGCATTTTAAATTTCAAACTCATCCGCGCCAAATCTCAACATTTTTAAACTTCCCTCCATATTTCAAACTTCACCCATTATATATAATTAATACTACTAATTAACTTGAATAAATTTAATTAATTGGCGCATTTTTTAATTCATATGTAATTATTACAGCGGCACAAATCGAGTTGACAACTTTTTAATAATAAAAAACAAAGTCGATGAAACAAAAAAAGTTCGCTTGCAGTATTGATAAATATGTTTAAATTTAATAATTACGAATTCAAATAATCACAATTCGAGAAAAATAAATAAAATAAAAAAACCCGAGTTAATATTCGTAATGACAGAACTAATAATACTATTTAAAAAATCATTTTTGCAGTTTTTACTCAATTACTTTATTTGTCTAAATTTAATAAATTCATCTAGGTTAACATTAACATAAAAAAATTGAATCAAGCACACAGAATTTGATTGGATTCTGAAAAAGTGCTATCATTTTTATCCCTTCTGTATTTCACACTCCAATAATTATATGTTTGCAAGTGTAAGCTTTAGCTATCTACAACTACAACAGAATGACTAACTCCATTTCAACATTATTTATTATTAATTTTAGTTATATTTGTTTATTAATTTTAGTGGGAAAATTTATATCTTATTTCATAGGTCTATATTACAATCACCTACTCTGGAATCAACTTACTCACTGTCTGCACAGATATATATTTTCCAACTAGAAATACCACTAAAATGACTTTATACAAAAATGTTGAAATTGAAGTTAAGTCATTCTTTCAACTGAAAGGCTCATATAAAATTAACTTAATAAACAGCTTTTTAATCTTAATAAAAACGTAATAAAAAAAAAAAAAAATCATATTTATTTTGGATAATCAACCATAAATATATAATTAAACTGTATAAAAACTACGGATTAGTTGAAAGATTTCATCTATGGTTATAAAAATTAAAAGAATAATAATACTTGAGTTACTTAATATCAAAGACGGTTATACATTTAACATTTTTAAAAAGATTAGACAAATCCAATTTTATACAACATGGCTTCAATTTAAACATTTTTTTTCTTTATGATTTAACTTGAACATTCATAAATAACATCATCAGAGACAGTTCCATTTGAACTTATAAAATAAAAATTGACTTTTTGGTCCGTGGTACAGACCCCTTTTTTATCAAATTATTAACCTCAAACTTCGTAAATAGTTTCATCTCATCATAACCTAAAAATATTTTTTTTACAGAAATTATTGGACTTTGTGCGTTTCCAATCTGGAGGAGGCCAAACTTTCCCTATTTAGTTACGTACAGTTACGTACTAAAAATTCGTAAATACCATTTGCTTTCCATTTGAATCGTAAGATAATTTGATCACAAAATCGATAAAAAAAAAGGGGGCCTACAAAAATATTGAGCCGTTTGTCCTATATAACATCGTTATTTTCAAAATTCGGGGGTGTACGTCATGCCAAACGGCTCAATATTTTTTAAGGCCACCTTTTTTCTCGATTTTGTGTTCAAATTATCTTACGATCCAAGTAGAAAGGAAATAGTTATTTTCGAGTTTTTAGTACGCAATTAAATAAACCTAGTTTGCTCCCCTCCAGATTGAAAATGCCCCAATTGCTAGAGTTTTTAGAAATAAAATAGTTGTAGGTTACGATGAGATGAAATTATTTATGAAATTTCAGGTGAATGTTAATAATTCTATAAAAAGGCGTCTGTACCACGGACTATTTTCTCTGTCTTCTAAAAATGACAGAGATCCATCCGTCTTTGATATGAAGCCACTCATATACGGGTTGATCTGGGATGTATTATAATAAACCAAATTGCCTAAACACATTTTATTTATTAGAAAAAAATTAATTTGAAAAATACTGATTTCACAAATATTTGTTAGTTAAATTCGTTATAAACTGTGGTTTTCAGCCAGATCTATATTATAAGAATTGATCTGAATTTGTGAGTGATAAAATAAAATTATATAGAACTAAAATTTAGTTAAAAAAAAAAACATACTTAGAAAAAACACAAAACTTGGATTTGCTAATTTTCTGCTGAAAATTGGCTCATTGTTTACATGAACTTTTTTATAGCTCTTGAGGTTTGCTATCACTTTTATAAAAATTACGAGTTAGTATTCGGAACTGTTGTTATAAATATATGATCTATTATTATAAAAATTTTAAAAATAAATACATATATATACTTAAATGTATTTACTAAGATAATGACAAGAAGTCAATTAATTGTATGATTACATTTCATTAAAAATCTCTCGAATTTTTCAGTTTAGTATAATAAAAGTTTTTATAATTTCATTATAGTCAAAATCGTTGTTAATGATAAAAAATAAGAATATATCATTGGAGATTTCAACTAAATTAGTCATATAAACATTAACATATTTAACATAAGATATTAACGTATTAAAATATTCTTAATAATAAGAAAAATAAACACATTAGAGTCATACTTACTTATGTATACTTACTTGTGTACATACACAGAAACTATATACATCGAAAAACATATGAAAAATGATGGAGGATTTTTTTTATTTTTATGCACTCAAAAATTTTATTTTAAAACATAAATAAAATTTTAAATGATTTGGAAATAGCCTACTTTTTATAGAATTTATGAAATGATTGCGCGCTCAAAATATAGAACACAAATAAAAAAAATAATACTGTTTAACGTGTGATATTCTGAATCATAAAAAATTTAGAATAAATAAATCAATCTTATATGTAATTCTTCTATTAATCCAGTGGAATCTAAAAAATAATTTAATTAAAACGATATAGTTAAGTAATATAAATTAATTATACATTTTTTTGCTTACCCTAATATTTTTATTAGTTGCATCTTCTTAAATATTTCAATCAATTTTCATAATTATTTTTCAACATTAAAACTCAAACGAATATATTCAGGTAATATATATTTTTTTGAAAAAATATTTGAAAAATAGCTTTCATTACCTATGGTCCATAGTATAGTTCAAGAACTATATATATTCAATATATTTTTTTTTTCATTGTGAACTTAAAGGCATTTCTTCAAGGCTGAGTCAAATCCAATTTAGTTTAAATTTTCTGAAATCGTTTTATGGATATAATTAAAATATATAATGAAATAAAATTTTACGTTACTAATTTTTAACAGCGATAGTTTAGTAATATAACACTTGAAATGATTCATTTTAAAATCAAAATTCATTTAAATGCACACTTTTACTCTTCACAACTGCTAAGTACTTCCCATTAACAAAGTATCGAACGGATTAAGTTTCGTAACAATTGACTGTATCACTAACATATGTTAAAAATAAATCATGTTTTACGAGCTGTTAATCTCTAGCATTAGAACATATGATAATATACAAGATTAATTTATCACAAGTAATTATAACATATGATAAATAATACTCATATATCTTTTTTTATACATGTAGAAAGCTTTACTATGAATATAGTACACAAACTTTAATTCCTTAACTGGAAGGTAATGTTAAAGCGAATTTCCGTGATTTATTTTACAAGTTTTAGAGTACTTAATTTAAAATAAAAAAAATGTTATTTTGATTTTTAAAAACGATTTATTGATATTCTCCTAACCTATTGAACATTTAGAGCGAGAAAAAAAAATCTAGGACAAAAATAATCAGTTAACACACAGTAATCAGAATTAGATGATTTTTTTTTATCGTATTTGATATTTGGATTTAGTGTAAAACAACAATTAAAAAAATTATTCCATAAGTTCCATTTTTTATATTTATTTTTATGTTCGTTATGTGGTGTCCCCCCCCCTTCAAATTTCAGTCAGCTTATATGGCACTTGTAACATAATTATTGATTACAATAAACACGTGTCATATTTCGCGTTAAACAAATTTAAATTCCATTTTATTGTCAACAATTTTATCTCTTATTATTATAATCTGTCAAATTTAATACTTAATATATTTAAATATTAGCTATTCTTACCATTTCATCGTATCCCAGTTATTTCTGTAAGCATCTTATTCTTCAGTAATCAATTGTACAACAATTAAAACATATGATCACATTCACTTTTACATATTCAATAAAATAAATACGTCTACTTTGTATTAAATATCCAAATAGAACTTATGTAGCTAAAATCAGAAACACTGATTATTTCAAGCGAAGTAACAAATTAACAAAATTCGTTAAGAAAAAAGAAAAGAAATTATGGAAAAATAGTGAGGTGTGTGCTTTAAACCACACGATAGAAGTGAAAACATTAACAATGCGAGATTAATAATATGAAATGTAAATTATAAATAACAGATCATTATAAAGAGGATGAAATGCTGAACATTTCCCTCGCTTAAAGTATGCAGGTTCGATTTTTAGTTTCTGAGATATTTTAATCCGTATCTTCAGTAAAAATTGTATAATTTGGTTTTCGACACTATTTTTTCGCTTTCGCCTCCCAAACAAGGTTTCACGTCACTAGCTGATCCAGGATTTAATTTTGTGGGGAGCTTTAGCCCGAAAGATTTTTTTTTTCAAATATATAACGATAATTATTTTGAAAAAAAGAAAGAAAGAAATTAACTACCTTTTTGAAATGATGTTTAAGTGGTTCTTGAAGTACTATTAAATGTAATTACATAAATTTTTGTTCGTCCGCCGTCCGCCGTACAATCAAAATTAGTCTTTAAAAGGAAGGATGTTGGAAAATAATTGTTTATCAATATTTTTAATCAATAAAGAGAAAGACTCAATAAAGAACTTGTTAGCATATTTTTACATGTGCCTATACCCAAAAAAACAATATTTAAACATAGTATTATTTTTACTTTCACTTACATATATATCCAATATATAACAAGGGTAAGTATTGTGATCGTGAAAAT